TTTCGATGGTACTCGGTTTAGGAGATAAACTACAGTGTTTGCAGCTTCTACCCAGATATAATGGGGTGCACTTACACTTATCAACATGGTCCTGACTTTTTCTATGATAGTGCGATTCTTTTTTTCGATTCTTCTATTTTGTTCTGCTGTGTAGGGTGCTGTAGTTTCTAATTCTATACCTTCTTTCTTCAAATATTCACTAAATTCATGATTTATGTATGTACTCACGTTCATTATCTACATGTAAACCCATAACTGAGTGTGTCACTTTTATTTTTTATAAAAAGCTTCTGAATAATCTGTGCAACTGTCCTTGAAGAGTAGCATGTATCGAGCACCTGAAGCTGATGGAGTTTGAAATGGTTCACATATGTCACTGTAAACCAATAATTCACCTGGAGCACCATTTAACTTGTCGATCATCTCTTTCAAGGTTTCACAATTTTCAACAGGTGCAATTTGGGACAGAGCCATTGCTGACGTCACAGTAAACATAGCCTCTGTATTGTCGGACCTGGGGGCATGGGCACTAATAATTATCACAGGACTAAAAGGCACTATTAATACTGACTAACTAACGCGGATCATTCTCAGTCTGTAGACTATCCTCCCATCTTCCAAAGACTATGGCGCGTGATCGCTAATTACAATAATTACCAGTGAGCTGTCGTTGACATTGACCTTCCATGGGTTTGGGTTCCTTGTACGTACGAATTAATATTTCAATAATTCGGTTCAACTTGCAACGAAATGTTATTTAAATGTAACGTGATCAATGATTTTCCTGAAGCCCATGAACCTCTTTCGGAAGACGATTGACTTTAATTAACCGAAGGGAGATGCCCTATTATCCTAAATACGATGTATCCCCGGGCTTAGAAAGCTGGGCCGCAGCTATACAAAAAAAATCCTATTGTACAATGTTTTACACGATAAGGTTGAACAAAATTATCCTAGATACGACAGTATCTTGACGTAACCATGTTTCTAGTTCTTGCGTTCGATCTGGTGCTGGGGCTGCTGAGGTTCCATCTACCATCCCATACAGACCTTTTGCACGTAGGGCCCATTTCACTTGAAACATCCATTGATGATAATTTTGCCCATCAAACTTGATAATAGAACTAACATCAATCTTGTCTGCCCTTTTGTTTTCTAGGCTTCTGTTACTCCAACACATTGTGCAGTAGAATCACAACTTTCGCGTTTTTTATAATTAAAGAAAGCTATTAAGCTCGAAAACTTCACTGCAGGAGCTTCTAACAATGAATTAAATTTAAGAAAAATACAGGAGCAAGCTACCCTTCTTGAAAAACCATTCCTTTTGTCAAAAACTAAACAAAAGATGTAAAGCTTACACCACTGCGCGCCTAGCGCGCTGTGTGGTGTTTTGGTCAGTTGATGGTCGATGTTCTGACCTATCAAAGCCTCTAGTCCCATTCTTGCTTATAACTTTTTACGACGTTACCCGGTTGCCCTAACACGTCGTTCATATGACTGGTATCTACCACCGATGGTAAGCATTGGGCCATTACACTGGTCTACTCAAGGATGGTGGGGGGATGTTGCCGTTCTGTGGGGAAAAGGTATCTAAAAAACCCCACTTTTCATTGATTTTTTTAAAAAACATAAAGAAAAATGTTGTGCATTGTCGGGCAGTGTGGTCCAATGGACGGGTGACGGGTCTCAACTGTAAAAGATACAATGGTAAAAGTAAACTTGGGGTACCTATGTGCGCGTGAGCGTGGGGTTGGTTATTGGGGTTGACCGCTTTGCATCTTAGTCATTCCAGATATCTGAAGGATCACGGCACGGGTAATGGCTCTGATGCAGGTGGGGGTTTTTGTGAGGGATGTCAGAGAATGAGGATTGACAGGATTTACCAGAATTTACCAGGATTCAGGGGGGTTCAAAATAGATCGGTAAATTCTGATACGGTGGTCCGTGCACTATGGGGTCTGTATCAAATCTAGTCGCAGTGAGACTGCGTGTGAGTGGGGAGCCGTTGATTTGAAACCTGTAAAATTTTTCACTGACCTCGTCTAGGTAGTCAGAGATATAGGGAATGCATGCTTGCGTATGCATGTCCCTTATTCTGGCGTACCTGGATTCGGACAGCACTCCTTTGAGAATGCGATTTTGGAATCGCTGAAGGCGATTCCTCTGAGTTCTAGAAATGGCTTATAAAACAATGTTGCCAAACTGAAAGTATTATACAATACATATTATAGGAGAAATACACAAAATTAAATATTTCCAATAATCACCACCAGCAGAGCATCAGGACTGACTCATCCTTTTCTTGCTGATAACACCCAACCCTATTCGCTTCGTCATCCGGCATTTTTTGTTAGGTAAGTGCAAGTAGATATTCTTTATACAATTTTTAAAATTCGCAAAAATACAAAATACAGTTTCTTACTGGAAAATTCATAGGTGCAAGAGTATGGAACATACTGACTTACTTCAAGTTTTCAGATAGCTTTCTGAAAAAAATTGCTGACCAAATTTAACCAATTAGAACACAGCATCACAGATTTATTGTAAAATATAGGTAGTTGCCTACCGCAAAAAAGAAAAATATAAAAAATTAAAAATGTATGAAACCACTAATTTGTTCAAACAAAATATTAGGTATATCATCTTTAATATGTAATATAAGATAATGTATAAAATTGAAACAAATTGGACCAAAAAATATTGTAAATTTTTGCATCCAAATTTATTTATTCTCCTCGAACCCGATGAAATGACATTTTCTGAGCATTCCTAGTTAATTTTAAATGTATTATTTTTTAAGTTGTCGGAACACGGTGCCAGTAGCGATGTGAAAATATTTTTTGTTTGTAAAAATTAATTTTAATTTTAGTTATTTTTTATCTATATATTTTAGGAAAAATTTTGAAAGTGCTTCCAAGGCAATAATAATGCACTGTAAATAGAAAAAAAAATCATATTTTTGTTACGATAATAATTCTCTCATTTTTAGGGTTGATTTTCACAAAAAATGTTAAATTATCAATGGAGAAACTGACCCTAAAGTACCTAAAACAATAAAAACTCCTAATATTTTGTAAATAAACATAATTCGTACAGAAATATGTTGTGATAAAAAAATTATCTGCAACTTAAAATTGTAACTATTTATTTGTGCAATTTTTTATTTTTCTATATTAAATTTATATTATTTGTGTTTTTGTTTATAAGGGGCGTTTTTAGTCTTGATATTTTTTTTGGCCAGCATTTTATGTTTTACGATTAGGTACGGAATAGATTGGATAATTTTCTAATTATGTATTGTCAGGACTCTTTTTGTTGTTGACAAATCCCCAACTAAACTAGAAAATTTTCTTTTCTGATCTTCAATAATAGTTTTTATTAATTTTAATTTTATAACATATTGCCAGTAACCGGGCCAGTATATTTTATATGATTACCTACAATTTTTATAGTTAATTTAATTAATTGGTATATTTAATAATTGATAAGTTTAAAATACTTACAGGATGCTATTTAAATTCATAATTTTTTCGTGTAAGTATTTTATAAAAGGCATTTCAAATAATTCCGTTACATCCTGTATACAATAATTTCTAGTTAGGTTTAGATTGTTTTCATTTATTTATTGTTTAGATCTCTACTTATTGATAATTTCGTTCGAAAATGGTGCTGCTAGTCTAAGTCAAATGTTTACAAGGTGATGGTAAAACATACGAATATTGAAACTATCAGAACAACATTATTGTATCATGTTTGAATGAATAATCTGAACATTTTGAATCTTTTCAGATTATATTAGATCACTTATTATACAGCTTTAGGTAGTGTCCAAGATTCAAAATTTCTCAGGCTCTGTTCAACAATCATCGATGGGTACTTTGCCAACAATTTATTGAAAAACTTTGACTTAGACTTTGTATATTAAAAGATTTTTTAGGGCATTTTACATGAGTCAGTTTTTTTTTTACTAGAATTTTATATTTTCACGTTACTTGTATAATTTAAGATAAAAATTATAATATATTTATTAATGTTAATATTTAGTTGTTTAAATAAAATTTTGTGGAAGGGTATTGCAATGTTTCAATTTCGTCAACATCAAAGGGCATCACAGACCTCGCAATTCCGAAGAAAGTTGCCACAAACTTATGCTCCAAAATACACTTACAACCTTTTGAATTTTTATTAATCTCAATCATACACTACCGAATATTATATTCTAAATGGTAGTTCCTAGAAGTAATTAAAATTAAAAAACAAACTAAAATACTGCACAAAAATATATAGATAACATACAAAAGTAATCTCAGTTAAAGTCAAGCCGAATAAAAATTTTAATAAAAATAGATAGACAAAGGTATATAAAACGAAAAAATAATAGGAGTCACAGATAAAATTGCATAAACATCATCATCTTCCTGATTTCTAACAGGGAGTAGTAAAAAATATCACAGTCGCAGTAGAAACAGTTGTAGTTAACCACCAATCTGCAGATGAAAGCAGTTTGGACATAACTTCTGTCTGAAGGAAAATGGTGTTTATATAGAAGGTACTTTGTGAACTTATTTTGAACCCTTTCTAGTCTGCTTTTGTTCAATATTTTGTTTATATCAACTCTGGGACATGAAAAGATAAAATCGCTAGAAAAAAATGCCAGGAAATAAAAGTCTATTGAAAGAAGGATACTTCAAGAGTTTTCCAATTTACCGAAAAATGGTTCAATATTCACTCATGAAAGTTTTATACACAAAAAATTCACACTTTCACCTACATAATGATATTCAACACATCAAAAAAACACAACTTTAAAGTTGTCAATTTTAGGATTTCAACGGAGCTCATATTAAATGCATATTTTATTGTCATTTTTTTGGGAAAAATGCAATTTTTATTCATTGAGTTAGAGCTTCTTGACAATCTATCCATAACAATTTTATTCACAGATTACTTTGGCACTAATTTCACCAATAGGAAAGGACTTCAAGGTCAATTCAACTAAATTATGATAAAAAAAAGCTTTATTATAATATTATGTAAATGTGGTTACAAATAAACGAAACAATCACCATCATCATAATGACAGAAAATAAAAAACGCTACATTGCCGGTTTAACTCAATTTTGCAAAGAAATAAATGGGAAAAGAAACATCAAAAAAGTTTACAAATACAAATTTTAAAATAAAATCAATAATTACAAATAATTTTTGAAACAAAAAATAGAATATTTACACTTACCTGCAATCTTAAAGACTTTCCTTAAAACCTATTACATATTATATCAATATTAAAATTATTACGAAAACTACTTTAATAAAGAATATTGACCTTCATTCTGTTTATAATCCGGTGGCATTACAAGCGACCTAATGAAGTTAGTATAAGATTGTCTAAATTGGTATGGTTTATGGCAAATTTCTTTATACAATGAACCACATTTTTTTGATAATTCAGCCACGCAAACCTTTTGCTGATCTGTCTCCATAGGAAAAGTGACAAGTCTGTTTGTTAACGAGAATAATTTCATTTGCAATTTTACCAAATTATCCGACGATATCGATTGTTCTAATAAATCCAAATATTCGAGCATAAAACCGACTTCTTTGTGCCAATTTAAAATGTCGTTGCTTCCTGGTTTTAGTCTGTCACTGCAATTCCTTATAACATCGAATTGTTCGTTGATGAACAAACTCGGTAACAATTTTTCAACAAATATTTTATTGGCTGTAATATATTCTTCAGCCAATGAAAAGTGATTGAATGCTTCAAAGTGTTTCTCATTCGCCAATGCTTTGTTGGCTCTAACCAAATGAATCCATTCTGGTGGAATTTTCATTTCGTTTACTAACAAATGATAAGTTTCAAGTGAGTTATCGTCAAAATCGGCGCTTAAGTTTCTGTCTAGGATGCCCATAATTAGATTTGTTTTTACTGAGTTATCTTCAAGGTAGAGTAGTACATAAATGGCCCATTCCCAATAACCTAAGTGTTCTAATTGCGTAGAAAAGCTGACGCAAAATTTGTTGATTTCGGATTGTTCAATTAGGCCAACGTCTAGAGAGAGGAAGAGTTGCAGAAGTAGCCAGCTAGAAAAAAGATATATTTGTTTGTAGACATTGAGTGTCAGAAATAAAGCAAATTTGGACACTACAAAGTATGTATAATGAACAATTTTTATATAGAAAACTAAGCTATAAATAAAATATCTTACCTTAGTCTATAATCCAACAAATCACTAGTATGTGTGGCAGGATTCAAAACGCTGCTAAGCCTATGAATTCCAGAATTGTATAAAGACAAAATTTGGTACATTATATCAAAAGGCCCATCTTCAGTATATCCTTTAACATATGGAGGATTAGGCCTTTCAGCGTACGAATATTCTTCAAAAGCCTTTTGGAAAAGCTCTATGGCCGTTTCGATAGGGGCTCCATTTGGACAAATATACCACAAATGCATACCGAATGCCCTCTTCCAATCAATATCATCAAAAATATTCAATCCGTCTTTAGTAGGTATACCAGACAATAGCAAATAAATCCTTTTCAATTCGTCCGAAATATGGTTGGCAGCCAAGAAGCGATACCAACTGTCTATTTGCTCTTGTATAAAGCTTTTAGAAGCATTAGCTACACTGAGTTGCGCTATCAAAAGGGATAAATTTGGCAACCTCGAATCCATAGCAATATTAGCAGCATCGAAAACCTAAAATAAATAATAATACTATAGAACATAATTATTTGAGTTGATAAGAGTGTTCTTACCTTAAAGACAGACAAATGAGTAAATATACTCTGAGTAGCTTCAGTAACTGATTTAAATGGGCCAGGTTTCAATGTCAACTCATCAGTAATGCAAGTAGACTTCAGCCATTCAGACAGCAAATGCCTTCTGTTGGTAAAAGTGTTCTCGTTTGGACCCCAAAGAGCAGTGCATAAGGTCCAAATATTGTAAAAATAATTGGCACCGCAATTATTATATTGAGTGGATAATTTTTCGAAAATGGCACTCTGTTTTTTCAAATATGAATCAGTTTTTAGGATTTTGAAGGTTGGTACTTTTGAGGAGTTGAGTTGATGGGTGGATTCTGTTAGAACCACCTTAAGGGAGTCTATTAAAATGTCCTGGAAGATACAATTTTTCTTTTAAATTCTTGAAACATTAAGTTTAAACTTGAATTACCTTGAGTGGATCAAATTCTGGAGCAGCTTTAATTTCCTTTAAAGTCAATTCACTGTTGAATCGATTTTCTCCGTTGTCTACACTGTAGAAATTGAAACCTTTGGACCAACCAACTTTAAGGGATTTTCCCTTGAACATACCCATATCGACAGAACACCTGAAATACATTGTAGGCAAATCAGTTCTAAACTCAAAACGATGAAACTTGACAAAAAACATATTATAATATAAGTCTTCATAGGCCTGTCAATATTAGTATTTTTATGATTTAAATAATTAAGTAACAACTTACCTATTTGGTAAGATATTAGAAATATCCTCAGGCATCTGAATAGTCTCTAGTGTGCAAACATTGGGCCTTAACATTGGCCTCATCATTGGTGGATACTCTTTGTCACAGCTGTTGCGGATTTCTTCCTCGTATAAAGTTGGCATCCTTTCTTCTTCGTCTGAATCAAGCACATCATAGTACTGTTTCACAATGGAAACCTGACTGCCAGTACCGTCTAACGATCTGTCATCTTCGGCAAAGAAAGCAGCTTTCATTTTCTAGAAAAAATTGGGAAATATTATCTAGATGCTAGGATGTAATAGAGATAACATACTTGTATGTTGCTAGTGGTTCTGAGTTTGTCACCCATTCCATAATCGGTATCCATATAATGTCCATACTGCTGATACTCAATCTCAGAAACATCATCCTCAACTTGGCTTAGAGCATCATTTTCTTGTAGCTCCTCATCATCATCTATAATGTCCTTGTCAAAACGATACGTTCCTGCAGAATATAGTTCTTGGGACCTAAATAAACTATTTTAATAATCATAATTTGGTTTTATGTGTATTATTTTTTACATACCCTGCACTGGTTTCTCTAGAAATAACATCTTTTTCCTCTAGACTTTCTTTTGCAGTTGCAATTGGAATCCTTTTTAACTCTCCTTGTTTGGGGGCTAAAGCTTTTTGAGCATCTAAAGCTTTTTGTGCAGCTATTTTAGCTGCATCAGAACCATTTTGCTCATTTTCATCATCACTGTCATTGAATCCATATTTTGAGAAATGATCCACTCTGAAAACCCAACTTCCTGTCTCTGGGCGGTAATCGATAAATTTGGCTTTCTTTTTCTCAGTTATTGTTCTCAACTTCTCAGCAAAATTCATGCAAATCAGTTCAGCCACGTCTTTGATCAAGGTATTTGACCGGCTGTCTCTTGGATAAACATTGTCCAATGTCACTTGAGCTCTTCTATTTAAACCCTGACCCACCGGTGGTTTTTTAGATTCGTCAGGGTAAACGTTTATTTCTCTGTATCGGAAATGGAGTAGTTCGTCCAAATTCAAACCTGCCACGTCCATTTCTTCAGAGAAATGGACATTGCCGTAGCCCCTACGGCCTATGGTAAAGCTGTTGACGATACACTTTCCATTTTCGTCTGGAGTTAGTTCTTCTAGACTTGGAATTGTGTAGTATTCTGGTCTTGTGCAAATTATGTTGGCTGGGTGTTTGCTAATCAAATTGCTGTCTACCTGATTAGTTACGACACCTTCGTCATCTGAAGCTGGAGGTGAAGATTCTCTGACACTATTTTCTGAAATAGAATATTAATTTAAGAAAGTCTTCTTTATGGCCAAAATTAAGGTTAGAGCTTTCTGCACTGTCACAAACACTTGAAGTCTACTTACCTTGTAGTTGTTCCTTACTAACATTAGCACTAACAGCACTGGGAGTTTGTGTTTCAATAGAATTATTTGAAAAAGTATCATTGTATGCTGTGACATCAAAGTTCAATCTCTGAGGATTTGGCATCCCGCCCCCTCCTATGTCACCGCTATTTACTGAATTACGTTTTTCTTTATCTAACACCTCCAAGACGCTTGGCGAATTCATACCAGGAGTGGTTCCTTTAGTAGGCGTTTTCTGCTTTAGAACCAATCTCCTGACACTAGTTTTCTTGTAATTATTCAACGGGGTAATAGGAGCAGGACTGTCTGTATAGTCAGAGTAATTATCAAAGAGACTATCCTAAAGAAAAATTTACAAAATTAAAATTAATTTATAAAAACCTAGAAAACTTACCCTAATATTTTTAAATGGAGTAATTTTTAGTTTTGGCGCTGGGTTCATACCTATTGTCTTGGCGCTGGCATCCAGTATGGATTTAAGTTCTTTTGGATTTGTTGTAGATGCTGAAAGATTTGGTTTGACTTTTGGCTCTAAGCCAGCCAAATGAGGAGCATCGAAAAAGGGGCTACTTGTTAGCTGTGCCAGGTTATTAACTTGTTGTTCTGGCTGTCCCATTAATCTACAAAAAAAATTATAATTCTTCATAAACTACAATCAAATTGTTAAAACTTACGAAGTTTGTTGCTGATTGGGTTGACTAAGTCCGAAAGAATTTTGTTGGAAAGATGGTGTATTGAACATAGTATTGGTTCCACCAAATAAACCTCCTGGTTTAGCTTGGTTTTGGTTGCCAAATAGGCTGGTATTATTTCCCAAACCACCTAAAAAAATTGAAGCCGAATAATATATTGCAACTGATAATAATATAGGCATTATAGAAGTCCTTACCAGAATTAAATGTAGGCATTTGCGTTTGACCAAAGGCCGGAGCACCAGGTTTGCCAAAGGTACTACCAAAACCAGTGTTGGTGTTAGTTCCGAAAGTATTAGTTGTAGTTCCAAAACCTGGAAACATATTTATAATAGTTTTGACATACCAAATGCAAAATCATTGTAAAGCTTAAAAATATAGGTTGTACTCACTTGAATTGAAGGGTGTTCCCAGTGCAGAAGGTTGTGCTTGTCCAAATGTAGGGGCGGCGGGTTTGCCAAAAGTACTTCCGAAACCGGTGCTGGTAGCACCAAATGTATTTGTGGCTCCAAAAGCTTTAATAAAATATAAGTATTTATTCTCTGAAGGGAAATTTAGAAAATCTTTGTTTGGGGTTCAAGCTACCCTCAGACTACCTAAGGTAACAACTAAATAATTAAGCACCAAAAAACAAGACAAGTTATAGCTTGAGATTTTCGGATTCTATACAGCTTGAAATCAAGACCTTCAGAACCCCAAAATCTCTAGTTTTCAAATTTTGTGGCAGCTTTAGATTCTTCAGAGGCTTTTGTATTCACCCCTTTATATTTTATAAATTATGCAATGATTTGAGCAATGACTCATTTCATGATGAAGAACCCTCTGCCTTGCTAAGACAAATATTTCGGGATTTGCTAAGGATGATTGAAAAAATTATTACATCAGTATATTTTGTCAACTTACCAGGTGCTGCAGTTGTAGTTGCCCCGAATAATGGTTTCGCTGTATTATTGAACATGCTGGACTGAGTAGATGCTGGAGTACTGAAAGAAAATCCAGGGGATGCCCCAAAACCTGTAGTAGGCTGAGCTGGTTTGTTAAACATTGTGTTAGTATTCTAAAATAATTAAAACATATAATGCAAGATTAAATTAAACTATTGAAAAATTTACCTGTTGGTTAGAAAACAAACCACTACCACCAAATCCGGTGTTAGGCTGGGACGTATTAGCACCAAATAATGGTTGGGCTTGGTTGGTTAAAGCGGCTCCAAAAGGTTTATTAGCAGTAGTAGCTCCAAAAGGGTTAGCATTTTGAGGTACATTACTGCCAAATCCAAATCCAGCAGAAGTGGTTGGTGCTCCAAAAGCTGTGGGCTTCCCAAAGGGACTTGCTGTAGTATTTTGTTGAGCTCCCATTCCAAAACCACCTACAAAAAAGGACAATTTAAAATTAAAAAAAAAAAAAACAAACATATATTTACCAGTTGTATTTTGTCCAAAAGTAGTTGTTTGCCCAAAAGCAGTGGGTTGGCCAAAAACAGACTTATTAGCATCAGTCTGACCAAACAAAGATGGAGTACTGGCTGCAGCTCCAAAAGCGGGAGCTCCAAAACCAGTTGAGGGTGCTACAAAAATCAAATATTGATAATAAATATAAACAATTTTTACAAGATAGAATGAAATACCTGCAGTTGCTTGACCAAACGTAGATGTTTGGCCAAACGCACTGGTTTGACCAAAGGCGGACTTGTTAGCATCATTTTGTCCAAACAATGAGGGAGTAGCTGTTGGTGCAGCTCCAAAAGCTGGAGCTCCAATACCAAAAGTAGTGCTACCTTGTTGGGGACCTAATTATTTTTATAATAAATACTTAAGACAAAATTGACTCAAACTAATTACTATAAGGACTTGTTTTTCAACAACACCCTGGCTATTTTTATTTTCATGTTAAGTGCAAAAAAAATGAAGTATTGTAAGGCACTGTATTTTTATTTATCCTTCTAACTAAAAACAATGTTTTATTTTAAATTACCAAGGACAAAGACCGAAATGTAAGGCGCAATAAACAGTTTTCAAATTTATATTTTAATAGGGCAATAAAAATTTCGAAACTTAAACTTACCTTTTCTATTGGCTTGATAATCTTCATACCTCAATTCTTCAAAGGACTTATTCTCGTACTCCTTCATACAAGTAATACTGTGATGTTTCGTACTGATAGTAGCAGCAGAACCATTTTTCATCATGGTATCCGTACCAGTGACTGGATTAAACTTAACGACTGAGCCAGTTGGCTGGCTGCCAAAGGCAGTGCCAGTGCCACCAAAGAGACCTGCATTGCCTGGCGAGGTAAAGATGCTCGATGCTTGCGGCTGAAATATAATACATTTCGATAAAGTGATTCCAAACAAAACGACGTGTTTACTTGTTGGGCTCCTAAAAAGCTGTTTGCTGGCTGAGGAGTTCCGAATCCAAAAGTAGTCGGCTTGTTTTGTTGTCCAAAAGTTGATGAGGTGTTAAATAGGCCGCCAGTCGATGCAGCTGGTTGACCAAAAAGACTGCCAGAACCTATAAACAAATGTAATGGATAAAAGAAGAAGGTAATCCATCCAATATTTCAAGGAATAGGATAAAAATATTGCCATTAGTGAGTTTTTTGATACTTATATCCTTTAAAAATTTCAAAATTAATTTGAGACAGCATTATGTTACATCTAATTGAGTCCTTGTTGAAAGATAGTAGTGGTGCATCATCCAAATCCTTCAGAAAAATAATGAAAACCACACTTCTGGTAGGTTTTTTTGTTATTTTCAACCCTTAATCCTTTATTGATTTTGAAACCAATTTAGTATTTTTAGTGAAGACTGAAGAGTAATCTACAATAAGTAGATACTTTACTTTCTTTAGTACTTGCCTCAGTTTTTGCAAAAACATGGCAGTGGCTCCTCATCCTTATGATTTAGATTTTTGAAAACTGAAAAATCATAACTTTTTTCCTTTATAGATAGAAAGCTGAAATTTTCAGCGATTCTTATCATAGTAGAGGACTACAAACTCTGCAAAATTTCAACTCATTTCGACTTAGAATTCCTGAGAAAAAAACCGCGCTAAGGAATTTAGGATTAATTTTTAGATTTTTGACTTTTTCTGAGGTCCTTTTTCGATATATTTCTGGAAGTTATAAACAGTACCAATATACACCATTTAGGGAACCTCACTTGACTTGCAAATTACTTTGAGGGTGGTTTAAAGGGGTGAAACTTGCTTGTTAAACATAAATACATTTGGGCTGATCGCATCGTTTGCTGATGACACAGTTATTATATACAGTGGAAAAACATGGAAGGAAACGAAACTACAAGCAGAAAAGGATTTAGCAAAGATAAAGGATTGGTTTGATGAGATGTCTCTGACAATTAAATTTAAGAAAACAAAATACATACCTTTCAGTTGTAGTAAGGTAAAAGCTCCAAATTTCACAGAAATTAAAGTAACACAAGCAAATAACTCAAAAGTAACTATAAAAGGGACAGATAATATAAGATATTTGGGAATTGTAATGGATAGATATTTGAAATGGGACGTACCTATCAACAACCTAATAAATAGACTTATACGTTATACTTTATAAAATTAAACAAATAAAAAAAATTTTTTGCTTTTCACAACTTAGGATTATGTATTGTGCACTCGTTCAATCCTTGATTCGGTATGGGATAGTTGGGTGGGGTGGAGCGTATAAAATACATATTGAAAAGTTACAAAAAATTCAAAATGTTTTCTTAAGAATAATGATCAATAAAAATCGCCTTTATCCAAGTAACAAAACATATGAAGAAAGTAAGTTAATGGACATTAATAAATTATATACCTTCAAATTGTTAATATATCAATTCAGATATAGGCACAAACTGAATATGATTGATCACCCACATAATACCTGACAAAAGTCGAAACTGAGGGTTGCAACTATTAAAACCAAAAAGACAATTGCCCAAAGAACAATTTCCTTTCTCGGGCCTTATACTGACAGATTTTTGCCAGATTTTCTTGTTTGAAAGTATTTTGAAGAAATTAATTCTTGAAACTCCCCGTACGTTTTTTAATGAACTAATAAATGGAAAGCTCAAATCAAATCAAATCAAAATATGCTATATTGTTTAAAGATACAAATCTTGATAACAAAGCTTCCAAATATAATATAATTAAAATTAAAATCATCAACAAAGTAGGTACGTAAAAATAAAGATAATAAACAGGAATAAAATAGGAATAAAAACAACTGGATAGATAGATCGAAAGACTGCTCAACATTAAAATTCACAACAAACTTAAAATTATTGACCATTAAACAGAGGAGATGAGAAGTATTCCTCTACAGAGTAAAATAACATTACTTGCATATACAATCTTTAGGTTCAAAAAATTGTTTTTTTAAAATAAGCAGATTCTCTTTAGGAATCTTGTTTTTGAAATACAAAGTGACAATGGATTTATACAACATAGTGCTACTGAGGTATTTTTTTTGTTTTTTTATTATTTATATACTTTTAATTATTGTTGTTTTATGGAAATGAGTTCAAATTTAGATTGTTTTGTATTTTCTAGTACTTCCTATGACTACTTACTATTTTGTTTCAACATTTAAATGCGGTCTGCATAACTGAATGGAATAACCAGAAAAGTCTGCGCACAAGTCCGTCAGGACTTCCGCAGAAATGTTCTTATTTATTTTCCTTCTGGTTTCTAATTACTATAATTGTGAACGTATAATAGTACATTATATACCTAGGTAGAGAAGTTGGTCATTATATACCGAGCGCTTTTATAAACCGAGACGCGTAGCGCCGAGGTTTATAATGCGTAAGGTATATAATGACTTTCTCTACCGTGGAATATATAGAATTTTTTTTACTACTGCTATAGTAGAAAATAAAAAATAAGTTTGAAATCTGAGCTCAAATTATTTTTTCTAGTTGAAAGTGCTGCCCTCTATCAACATCTATGGTAATTTCCTATGATACATACAGGAACCTGTTTTTTTGATTAAATTGACAGTTTGAAATCGAAATTAAATCAATAGAAACCTGTAACGTTATGACAATATCCTTGCGTCATGACGTCATTTTCATTATTGACCTAGGTTTTTTTTCATTATTTTCATTATTAACCTAGGGAGAGAAATTCAATTTTTTCCGAGAAAAATAGATTGAATAATGACTACCCTAAGAGTACTTTTGTCTTGACTTGCAAAAACGTGTAAAAATGTGTTTTATACATATGTTGTTACCAATAAATTATCTTATCAAGATTGCAGGCTCCACTCGCACCGATTGCTCACGTTTTTTTGCGAGTGTATATGGAATGTATGCTACTGCATGTGACTGCACAGAATTGATTATGATTGCAAGTGACTGTATTATGACTGCATGTGACTGTAGTATGACTGCATGAGTCCATGTATTCCTTTGAGTGCATGCAAATGTATGGACTGCAGAAGAATATATAGACTGCATATACATGAATGTATGAAATTTGTACACCTTCTGCATAAGTAAAACACCTCTGGCCTATTGGTCAAAATACGGCCAATGACCCTGTACTTACTTTGCCCTGGTAGACTAGATGTCGAAATGCAACAATGGCCAGAGGGTCAAACCCTTGCTCGAACCATCTTGTGTATTATACCTACGATTATACCACTGTGATAACAAGTTCACTCATGTAAGTACAAGTTCCAGTACAAGCCGCAAGAGTTCCTTGTTGAGAAATATCATTGGAATATGTTTGACTTAAATGCCTGAGTAAGTATATGAAACATTATATTTCTAGATACAAGGCCAATTGGAATTACCAAAGGGATTCCCCAACAAGTTAAAACTTGCCCAACCTAGATGTTAGTTGATAATAATTATTCATATGCTCATTATTGTAGTTGTAAATGTGTAGTTACATTGCATATGGACTTTCCACCAAGAAACTCCACTTACTTTAATAGACCAATAACCACCACAAATGTTTGCTATGTCAGATTTGTTTGGCTCTAGAATGAGATAAGGCTTTTCCACAGTTATGAAGAAAATGATTCATGTTTATATTTTTTTATGAACTAGGTAATAGTCAACAAGGTAGAGAAATAACTCGACAAACGCATGGGTCACACTAAAAATTGCTCCTGAACCTGCTTCACAACTTCGAGGCCAAACAAATATGTATTTAAAGTCTTCTAGCAGTGTAAAACCTTTTTGATAATATGTAAAAAAAGCACCATCATTAGTTCAATGCATTATTTAAAGTGTAGTGCTTGAAAACTATTTGAAAATCTTTAATAAAAAAGATTATCTTACCAAATGAAGTGCTGGACGCTGGAGCCCCGAAAGCAGGTTTCCCGAACATCGTGAGCAGATGATTTTACTCGCTTAACATGAAACACTTGTTCAAAATACTACACTTTTTCGTCTCTAACTAAAAACCTCGAAATACACGAAGTATAAACAAAAATTCACAGGCAACTGGCAATTTTTCTTTGCTTTCTTTCTAGGCGCTTTTGGGGTATTTTTTTTATATGAGAAACGAGGAGAAATGTCAATGTCGTGAGAACAACAAAAAAGAAATCTATCAAAAAGAAACGTCGGTGTGTGCGGCAGTTGCTCGGAGTATTTTTAAGTTGGGTTCGGCTTGCTCATTCGGTGCACTCTTAGTACTCCGTACGTACTGCGCCTGTTTTGATATGGATTTTAGAGTTAAATAGAAAAACAACGTTTTCTCCGTATCATCAGTTTGTGTATACTCTTACCGTGGCTAATCTCAAGCCCTCTTTACTCAAATTGAACAGCGAACATTAGAGTTCCTTCGCGTGAATAACATTTGAGCTGCACATGCGAATAGTGTTGGTTCTGAATCAGTTCGCCACCGCGAACAAAGGGATTAGCATGCTCGATTATGGTGTCACACTTTGCACTAATCATTAGTTTCTTTCCAGGTATGCACATTGGCGCGCTCTATATAGCACCCCGGGAGCGCCACGCACTAGATTCGTACCGTTCCAATATCATGACGTGTGACGTTTGTTCGTACGTATAGCTCGGGGGCGCAACGCTCCGAGTAGTTCCGAGCGTTACACTCTCATACTGGAAAGCGGCTCTTCATTTTCCTTGCGCTCGGTATTTTGTTCGAAGAGCAGAGCATGCTAAGTGGAGCCGTAAACACGTGACCAGCGAGCGCATAGAGCAGTTAAATGCTGTATTAGTGTTCGAAATTTTAATAAACGAACGCGAATGAGCCTGCATCGAGCACACATACATAAACCCACGGTAAATTAATGCGCACTGAGTGTATGGTATATCCATTTCTATCTCTTTCTCTCAGCGTGTTATATACCTTGCGTTCGGTATTTTGCTCAAAGTGTAGAGCGAGCTGAGCGGAGCCGTAATCACGTGACCAGCGAGCGAACGGAGCAGTTGAACGCTGTATAAAAGTACCGGAAATTTTAATAAACGAACGCGAATGAGCCTGCACCGAGTACACTTTTCAAATAAACGAACGGTAAAGTCAAGCTCGGAGAACTCAGACCAAAATAACGAACGCACGGATAATAAGTAAATTTTCTTTGCCCCGATTCTCAAAACAGAAAACGCCTCTTGTCATTGTCATTTGTCATTTGACAAAACTGACAAATGGTTTGTTTTGATTTGTGTGTTTTTTTTTTGTGAAAAAGTTAATATAATTCAAATTAAATAATTTGTGTGTAAGTTTAAAAAAAATGGATTCAAGCCCCACAGAAGATGATTTATTAGATGAGGACAGTTCCGAGTTCTTTATCAATTTCCCTCCAGAAGTCCAAAAAGCCATAGATGAGGTATTTTAACCTAAGTATATTCACTTTACTGCCAACACTTTTAACATATTTGTTTATTTTTATGCCTACTCTCATAATAAAGATGTAACTACTTTATCAAAATATAAATAACTGTCTGTAAAACATTCTAGGTCCTTCCTTCTCGGGACTCCTTGGATGGACCAGATTTCAACAGTATCGATTACATAAATTCCCTTTTTCCAACTGAACAATCATTGTCGAATATCGACGAGGTTGTAATAAAAATGGAAAATCAAATACACACTATAGACAATGAAATATCTACTGTTATTCGTAGTCAAATTGATGCTAGCAAAGATGGAAGGTAAGGTACAATGAAACGTCTCAGATACAATAAAGTCTTCTCAATTTAGGGCAGGATTATTCATTTTCTGATAAACTGCGAGGTATGCAATCTGACGGATAAAAACGCAACCTGTAATCCGATTGGTCGGATAATTATCCTGACCAATAGAACTGTAACAGTAAATTTATCTTGTAGATAATTACCAGGAAGTTTATCTGATGAGTGATGATAAATGCACTATTTTTGTCTTCAACTTTTTGGTTTTCTTTCACTCTATTTTGGAATTGAATTGGATACACTTTAAGCAGAAACTTTACTTTCCACATTATAATAAATTTGCTCCATTATTTTATAGGGAAGCATTGGATGAAGCCCAAAAAATAATCAAACATCTTTTTGTACACATAACAGATATCAAAGAAAGGGCTGAAAAGTCAGAGGAAATGGTACGGGAAATCACTAGAGATATTAAACAATTAGACTGTGCTAAAAGGAATTTAACATTAGTAAGTCCAATCTAGCTAAAATTATTAATCATTCAAATAACAATTATCAATTTTTTTTTCAGGCTATTACAACCCTAAACCATCTTCACATGTTAGTAGGTGGTGTAGACACCCTTAAATCTCTAACACAAAAACGCCTTTATGGCGAAATAGCCTTACCATTACAAGCCATCAGCGAAGTGATGTCTCATTTTGAAAATTACTCGGACATTCCCCAAATCAAAAGCCTCAGTGATCAAGTGAACAGCATACACTTCGAACTGGCCCAACAAATAACGCACGATTTCAAAGAAGCATTCCAAGGTGCAAATAGCAAAGGTCATTTGCCTAATAAGCAGCTGCAACAAGCCTGTTTGGTGGTCTCGATATTAGATCAGAAAGTTAAAAGGGAATTGTTGAAATGGTTTGTCGATTTGCAACTGCAAGAATATAGTCATTTGTTTCAAGAAACTGAAGATACTGCTTGGTTGGATAAGATTGATAAGAGGTACGCTTGGATTAAGAGGCATCTGTTGGAGTTTGAAGATAGACTTGGTAGGTAAATAAAACTTTAACATTTTAATTAAATGTGAAAGGATATAGGTTTATTGTATATTGAGTGTGTAAGTTTTATAGAAGCTCTTCTTTTTTGAATTATTGACTGAAGCAAATCTGTCTTGAGTAGATGAGTCTAATCAGAAACATACCTAAACTAAGCTAAGATTAACTTCTAAGTCTTTTTTGACTTTGGATTATTTAATAGCTTGATTGATAATATTTACATGATTTCCTGGAAATTCATGGAAGTACATACCTCATACACATCACACAGTAATTATTATTATCCATTGTTCTTATTATCAAAATATTGCACAGGATATTTGGAATATTATGATTTTTCGGTTAATGAGCATCATTGTTTCATATAAGAAAATGTACTCAAAAGAATATTACATTACATACATGTATTTGTAGGAACTATGTTTCCTCAAAACTGGGAAGTATCTGAACGAATAGCCGTTCAATTCTGCCACAACACCAGAGAAGAATTATCCAAAATTATGGCCAAAAGAAAAAACGAAATCGACGTGAAACTACTTTTATATGCCATCCAAAAAACTTCAGCTTTTGAAAGTTTACTTTTCAAAAGATTTACTGGTGTAACACTAAAGGAAAACTTGGAGGAAAGCACCAAGGAAAAATCTAAAAGTGATAAATCAAGTTATGGTAATTTACAAAGAAGTGGATCCATAAACGAACCAACAAATGCAGAATTTGATGTTTTCGCATCACCATTTCATGGACTTATAGGCAGATGTTTTATAACTCATTTAGAAATTTACATAGATAGTGTAGATAGAAATTTAGCTGACCTTATCGATAGATTTGTGCAAGATGAAAAACAGCATAGGCCTACAGAAAACACAGAAACCCAAGCTGCTATATTACCGTCTTGTCCTGATTTGTTTGTTTTTTATAAAAAAAGTATGATACAGTGTACACAGCTTGATAGGGGACAATCGATGCTAAGCTTAACGAGAACATTCCAAAAATACCTGCACGAGTATTCTGAAAAATTGTTACAAAATAATCTACCAAAAGTTGAAGCACAAACTCTAGGATCCTCTGTACAAAATTTCACTAAAGATTTACAAAAAATCTCAACATCGGGCCTGATCCATAACTTTTCATCTTTATTAAAAGAAGGAGAAATTACTAGGTAAGTGAATTGCCATTATGAAACATATTTTTTCAGTAATACTCACCTTTATAGATTCACAAAAGATGAGCAAACCAAAATATGTTGTATTCTAACAACTGCAGAGTATTGTTTGGAAACTACTCAGCAACTTCAGGACAAACTCAAAGAAAAAATTGAGCTACATTTAGCTGAGCAAATTGACTTGTCTAAAGAACAAGACCAATTTCATAAGTAAGCCCAACTTGAAATGTAAAAATTGTTAATTTTACATGCATTTATTTTAGAGTAATATCAAATTGCATTCAACTATTGGTGCAAGACTTGGAAAATGCCTGTGATCCCTCACTTACAGCAATGTCTAAAGTAAGTACATACTTGTAAGTACATAATTATATTTTATTTTTCTTTATTCTTAGATTCCTTGGCAAAATATTGATGCAGTTGGAGATCAGAGTCCTTATATTACTTCTATAACTACTCATCTGAAAACCACAGTTCCCATAATAAGAGATAATTTGGCGCATTCTAGGAAATATTTTACTCAATTTTGTATTAAGTTTGCCAATAGTTTCATACCAAAGTTTATACAGAGTATTTACAAATGTAAGCCGATTAATACTGAAGGTAAGTGAAAAGAAATGTTTCATTTTCAGGTATCAGGCCTGTATTTCCACTCTAAACTCTATAAAGAAAAATTTTCAGGTGCAGAACAACTTCTCTTGGATACCCACATGTTGAAAACAGTTCTTCTCAATCTACCATCAATAGCATCTCAAATAAATAGATCTGCTCCAGCGGCATATTCCAAAGTTGTCACCAAAGGTAACAATCTTCATAGTATAAAAACCATTCTATGTATTTGATTCTAGGTATGACCAAAGCAGAAATGATTTTAAAAGTTGTGATGACGCCTATAGAACCGGAAAAAAATTTCGTGGATCAGTGCAAGAAACTTTTGCCAGAATGCCAGCTGACGGAATTCTGTAAAATATTAGAAATGAAAACTGTCAAAAGGCAAGAACAGGCGTTATTAGTCGACTTGTTCAAGAGCAAAAAATAGAAAATAATTTTACTGTTTATGTATTATGGAAATCAAAATATGTTAATGTAATATGTATTAGACTTCTGCCATTTTGTTGGGTTTCACAGGAGTTAATTTTCAATTGTTATGAATTTTTGTCCGAATTTTAGTGTTAGTGCAATTTTTGTATGTTCTTATTTATGAATTCAGTTATGTACTTAAAAGTTTGTGTCTTATTTTAATTGTTAATTTATTGTCTGTGGTTTTAATTCACTCGTAATATATTCAGGCAATCTAGAGTATTTCAGGTATTAATTTATTATTATTCTTTAAATACAAATATGTTGTCAAATTTGAGGCTCTCAATTGATTCCTTTCCTATAAAAGAAACAATGTTTTCAATAGAAAAAGTTATCATCATCATAAGCAGCACAGGAGGATGGTTGATGTTTTTGAGGAAGGAATAATAAAGTCATATTGCAATTGATAAAACTATGCTCATTAATGTTTTAAAAAAAAATAACAAAAATCTTTACTTACTAAACACAAATTTACACTTGTCTGTGTACAGTTTCTCTTAACACATGTTTAGAAATAATTTCATTATAAGCTTTCCTAGATAAATCGCAAAGTTCGGCACTTTTCTGAGCCGAAACTTCAAGTCCTCTTCCTCTGTGAATATCAAAATGACTGACCAGAGAAGCTTGACTCTCGCCAACTTCCTTCAGTTGCGTTATAATCCCCAAAATGTCGTCTTTCAATGGTGGAAATGCTTCGTAAATCCTTATCAAAGCTGGCAAGACCGGTTTGAAGTGTTTTACGCGTTGTGCACTTGAGATCCCTTCAAATATAAAATAAATTAATAATGAAATAACACATACACACACAAAATCTACCTCCCAATATCGCGTACAACAAATTCAAAGCAGTGACGCACAAATTCAGACTCTTTGGCAAAGCATATTGGATACACAAATGTGATAATAACAGAATGGCAAAAATTTGTTTGTCCAATCTTGGCTGTTGCATTAGAACTAGCAGGAAATCTAGGCAAATGTGCATTGACGGGACTCCTTTCACAACAACTTCAATTAGATCATTTGGGTAACCCTAGAATTAACGGTAAATCATTTCAATCAGGGCATTAGTAGTATATGACCTTGAAACATACCTGAAAATGTACCAATTTGCACAAAACCGTGTCCGCAATAAAAACTTGATGCAAATAGCTGCATACTAAGGATCTAACTTCTTGTAGTGCCAACTCTTGACCCGGCACCAATTTATCTTCTTTGCTTTCTATTAAGGTTTCCAGCAGCATCTGAACTGCTGCACTTTCCTGAACAAACCAAAAGTGATTTAGTACCACCAAAAATTATGACAAAAAATGGAAGAATAAAAACATACAATAAATCTCTTAAATGCATTATCTATTAAGTTTTTCCATTACAATTTTTTTTATGTTTTAAAATTTCAGTAGGTGTTAAAACCAAGTCCTTAAAACACTTATCACAATGCCACTGTTTTGAATTAGCCTTGACAACTGTACTTTTAGTCTCATCAACTTCTTTTTTCACTTCTGAAATCTTCTTATCACAAAACTCTTCATGTTGCATAAAATTAAACAAAGTCATGCCGGAAAATGTATTTTTACAATGTTTGCAAACACACTCAGTCTGGAATATTTGCACTTCCATATTATAAGTCCATTCTTCGTCAGTTAAAGAGTCAAAAATTATATTTTCTGTAACATTAAAGCCACCTTTTGCTTTATTTGGGCACATTGTGTAGTCTTTGTCAAAAGGATTTTTAGATTTTTGTTGAATATTTTCAAAACAGTCTGTTGAATATGTATATAGGTCCTTTAAATCAGCAGGCAATAATCTTTTTACATTATAGGCGATGTCAGAGTTCATAAAACTAATCAAATCTTCAATAAAATAAAATGTTTCTTCCTTATCTGAACCAGTTTGCTTGTGCATTGGATTGTTTAGTTTAAAATCTAGCTTTTTATTCCATTTTTTTCTCAAAGCTAATACTCGCATAAGTAAATTTTTTCCTTGTCCAAAATAGGGCACATCTAGAGTCAAAAAATCATCAACAACAAACTTTGTTAAAGTAGTATTTGTAGCTATAGTTTTCCCAAAAAGAAACAAAGTTTGAATACAAGGCATACGCATTGTGTTAACCAAATAGACTTTTTTCGTTTCCAAAATTGCTTGGTAAACTAAAACTTGATGTTTTTTAGATATGGGCCGTTTACTAAAATATCCTGGAGGTGGCACTTCGATGTCATCATTGCAAAGCTCTAGAATCTCGGGATTAGTAGCAAAATAGCTCATGGGTCTTAAAAACACATAGTTTTTGTTTTTAGTGTGATACAGTCGCTCTGAAACAGTTTTAGACGAATTATGTTCATCTTCTACAGCGATTTGAGGGTAAAATCCACTAGAAATTATGAGTTTCAGTAGCATGAGCTCTTTATAACTATCAGCGCTGGCTTCATTGAGAAGTTTTTGAAGTCGCTAAAAAATAATTAATTAGAATGGTAATTATTAATTTCAAATAAAATACTTTGAAATCGTTAGAAATTCTAAATTCCACATCTCTTATGTCAGTTTTTGAATCAACTTTTTCAGAATCTTCTCCATAATTGTACATTTCGTATTTTAAAAGCTTTCTTTGATTTGATTTTGATTCATTTTTGAGTTCGTATTTTAAATGTTTTAGATGCTTAAGTTCGCCATGTCTAATGGACCTTTCACTACTTGATAGTTCTAAAAATTAATCAATTATAGAAATTAATTTAAAAACAATGACAGTTGTTGTTACCTTCTTCAATTTTCTGTAACAAATTAGCTTCAGTCAAAATATCTCTAAATTGTTCCAAAAGTTTGGAAACTTCATAAAATCTCTGTTCCTCTAAGCATCTTTTTTTGCTCCAGGTACGGGAATTTTGTGATTTATTTTTTGAACTCCCTTGTACAGGACCAGATAATTGTTTTATAGTCAGCCTAAGGTCAAAGAAAACAACATTACATATTTGTGTTAGCAACAAAATATTCAACTTACCATTCTTTATAGTAGCTCAATAAACTGATAGGATCGCCATGATTAGAGTCCAAAGGTTTTCTCAAATTTTGAGCCTCTGAATCCCTATAAGCATTCTGAGTAAGAGGACTTTGAACGCTCAAAAGCGACGCCATGCCAAGTATTGAATTGACATTTCCAAAAACGGTTGCCATAATGAGCATTTTTCCTATAGAGAGTTCTACTGGGAGCTGACTTAGAGCATCCCCTAAAGGAGTCAAAGACAGGCAATCTTGCTGTGAAAGACTAAGCGCACCTAAAATAATTACAATTTATTTAATTTATATTAGAAAAAGTGTACTCACCTGTAAATTTCAATTTCTCCAAACTTTCTTCTATAGCCTTATTGCTAGGTTTCTCTAGAAAAGGAAAGTTTTCAATATCACTCAGCCCAAGCGATATCATATGTAAAACTAAAGATTCAAGAGGAACTAAATGTATTTCAGCAGGAGTAAAGGCCTCAAAATTTCTAAAATCTTCTTCAGAATAGAGGCGATAAGATACACCAGGACCTGTACGGCCCGCTCGACCACTACGTTGTTTGGCACTATCTTGTGAAATATTTGTTTCACTTAATTTACTTATACCCAGTTGAGTATTGTAAATCATTCTGTTGCATTTGCCAGAATCAACAACAAATCTATTAAAAAAATATTAGGTATTTTTAAATATATTTTTCAAATAGTTACCTAATTCCATCAATTGTAACTGATGTTTCCGCAATATTAGTAGAAATAATACATTTTCTAATTCCTTCTGGAGGATAATCAAATACTTTATCTTGTTCCTCCAGAGATAAACTGCTATGCAAAGGCAATACAATCCAATTTTTCTTCGATTCACTATATTCTGTAACAGCTTCAGCTAAAGTAGAAATCTCTGAAAACCCATTTAAAAATATCAGCACATCTCCTTTTTGGTTGGGCAAATATTTCTCATCAATCATTTGTAAAATTTGCAAGTAAGGAGTGCAATTGAATTTATCTCTTTTTCTTTCAAATGGATCCTTTATTATAGGGCGATAGTTTATTTCTATCGGATATAGCCTTCCCGGTACTTGAATGACTTCGATATTTTCTTCAGCAAAATAATTTGTGAAAAGTTCTATGTTTATAGTGGCAGACATGAGGATTAGTTTGAGATCTGGTCTTTTATAAAGAACACATTTCATTATACCTGAAAATTTCATCATTATTTGTTTTTATTGAAGAAATTTTTGAAACTTACCTATCAAAAAATCCCCATGCAAATGCCTTTCATGCACTTCATCCAATATTATAACATCATAAGAATTTAATGTTTCTTCTTCGGAAGCCTGCCGAAGTAATAATCCTTCAGTCATAAAAACAACACTGGTATCTTTTCTTTTAGATTTTTCAAATCTTATTTGATAGCCGATTGTGTTTTTGAAATCTGATAAGGTTTCATATGCAACCCTCTTAGCTAAAGAAATACAGGCGATTCTTCTGGGTTGGGTACAGGCTATTTTTTGATAACCCGCTTCTAATACGTATTGTGGGATTTGGGTAGATTTACCACAACCTATAAAAATATTGATGGTTTTGAGAAATCTGCAGCCCCTTAAAAGGTACCTAATAAGATCTGATTGCAAAAATACTTTTGATAGCAACTTAAATTGCAAAGTGTATGGAATTATATGAAGAACTTAGAAACATAAATTTTTGTTTAATGTGTAAAATATTTTTGCCATAAGAATTGAATATATCTGAGCTTGATGTTGTGTGTCTTTTGATAAAGATCGGTATGATGTGGCTTTGTTTGAGTAAATTGGGGGATATGGATATGCCTCAACTTATAATTAATTCAATTTATTTGTATTTAGTTATTCACGAAAGTGAACGATATCAGTATGTTGAAATTAGGGGCACTAAATTTTTAGTTTTCACCAGATTTTCAGGGATTTTAAATATACCTTACAAATTTTTCTTGACTTGTACACTTTGACCAATCAACCGCTCCAAGGTTTAGTTAACTCTATGAAATAATGAACACATTTCAAATCCTAATTGATTTTGTAGGATTTTAGATTTTCAAAATATTAGGTGATTCTGAAGCATTTTAGGGGTTTTTGAAAAGTTTTTAGAAATCTTAAATTCAAAAGACAAATTTGAATGGAAAAACGGAAATTCCTAGATATTTTACTATAGGATTTCATAATACTTTTCCGAATTTCATCATATGATTCTATGGAATTCCACCATAAAATTCAATGGAATTTTTGGACAAAAATTCCTCGGAATTACACTCCTTATGAGATTTCATGAAATTCTTCGGCATTCCACTAGAAATTCAAGTTATTCCATGGGAATTCTGCGAAAATTTTTGTTAATTCCATAGAAATTTCACTAGATTTTATGGAATTCCTCGAAATTCCATTCCTTGTACAGCACTTATATCTTGTAATTGATTTAGGTTTGTTAACATTGTTTGTAAGGTTTTCATGTATGTTATTACCTATATTTCTGTATTATAAATGAATAAATAAATAAACACATAAATAATATTGAAAGTTCTTACCTGTATTTCCTGCTATCAACATTACTCTAGTATTTTTTAGTTTATCAACGATTTCCTTTCTATATTGTGCAATAGGAAGTTCATTCTGACTATTTCTAAGCTTTTTGAGTTTGGAAAACTTTGATTTCTGTTGAAAATCTTGATAAACCTTAATAATGTGCAATAACTCTTCAAAATCTTCTCTCTGAATCAGAAATTTCTCGCCTAGCTTATCAAGCACTGGCAATTTATCCCATAGAATATCAATTGTATCATCAAAGTCAATATTGAAAAGTAAGTTCTTGTTCAATGTAGGGTCCTTGGGTTTAGTTTTTTGAATGTTCACATATTTTTCGTAAAAAGTCCAAAAATCCCTCGTTTGTTTGATGTTGGCATTTTCCTCTAGGAATCTAGCCAATTCTTGTTTGTAATCCTGAACTTTTCTAGGTTCTGGCGATTTTGACCGATATTTGTATCGCTTTCTGCAAGGACTTTTGGATCTACTTCTAGATTTTCTTCTAGAGGATTGATACGAATCACTTTTCCTTCTTCGATAATCCATTATTATTATTTTTCACTCACTACTCCTAATTCAAAACATACATACATAGGCTTAATACATAATTATTAATATTTTATTTTTATTTTTAAATGCCTGTTTATATATTTACATGAAGACAGGTTATGTACAAATACCAAAAGTCATCTTTTTTAAAAGATTTCAGTGTGGAATGCAATATTTATCCGACAAAGACAGGTATAGTGTAGCATAAGTGCGGTATATTTTACATACATTTATCTCTATCATTGAGGTTTTCTCAGGAATCACTCTTAAATTTGTTTAAAATCCGGTAATCGACAACATTTAAAACCGTCCGCAAATCGCAAATACGAAAGAACCACTAGTCACTGTAGAAAGAACTACCCCGATAGGCCCGGATATGAAATTCGTAATACCACTTTGAAGTAATACCACTCTTCCAATTCCTTACCTGTGCTGCTATTGTAGCCCTACACATTTCTTCCCTATCAGGTTCATTTACAACCTGTCCGTGGGCGTCCAAGCGAGGGTTCGCTTGCAAATGCTGCGTCAATTGACTCCGGGAAGAGGCCAAACTAGCCCTTAAAACTCTAAGAACGATGGCGTAGATTGGGGCACAGCGATATACTTTTTCATCACATCGCATGATCTAGGAAAAAGGGTTAAATATGAAGATAACAATGATATTATCCAGCCAGCTTACCTGTAGAGGATCTTCAGCAACATCAATTCGAGTCAATACAGAAAAATCTTCAACCAAATTTTTAACAGTTAATACCCATAAACGACGCGGCAACACTGTGTTAAGTCGAAGCCACACATCTTTATACAATTCCTGAATGTATCTGGGAATATTTGGACCAAGAACACGCCTGAAAATCATGACTTTATCAAAGAAGTTCACTCCATATACCTTTACCTTACCTAGCACATTGAGTAAAACTTTCAGCAAATGGCCAAATATCTATGGCTTCACATTTTAACATTTTTTGAAGAACCATTGCACATCTAAAACAAATAGAAAATTTATAAAAGATAAAACCATTTAAATTTTTTACTTACTGAGAAGGACGAGTTGTAATATCATTAAATGCTGTAACAACCATCAGTTCATTGATATCCAAAGGCTTTTTTTCCATATGCATAGACATATCATCCAACCAGTCCTCCACTAACGTAAGATGTGGAAAGTGAGTAGCCAGAAGCTTTAAAAGTGGCCCGAAAAGTCCTGAGTAGGAACTCTGATCCTTCTGAGCATGGTGGAGTAGATATTTGATGGGCAACTCGGACAAAAATTCTGGAGAGTACTGTTTTATTTTGCGACCACTAGATGCTAGAGCGTTCGCATTGTTCAATCTGCAATCCTCATAAAGTAACAGATAATATAAAAGAAGCAGTTGGGGAGTTAAGCTGGACTTATCAACAATTACATCTCCCATATCCAAGTTTGTGTCGAAATCCATGTTGAATATTGATGGTTTGTGATCGAAGTATTGACCAAATATTGAATTTTGAAAAACCTAAAAAAAAATCATTTTCATTACTTTAGAAAAACACTCAAAATCCTGTTCCTATACTAATATTTTGTCAAGTGATCAACTTTTGTCTTTGCTTTGTTCTGACTGCACGTTTGTAATTTGCGAGCAAATCTATAAAGAATTTTAGGTTGCTGTTCCAAGTCTCATATCTCAGGGCAAATGAGTACAGAGCAAAGACTGAGATAATATCCATCTAAATAAAGATACTTACCGTCCTAATTTCGTTTTCAGTCAATGGTTTATTTGCTTGCTCAGCATTTTTAGCATTAGGCAACATAATACTGTTCACATAGACCTCGACTAGCATTGGCAATACTGGATGTAACGGGCTAACGCTGGTACAAATTTGTTTGTAAATCCAGTTTTTAATGTTCACATTGTGTTTGGCAAAAGCTCGAGATTTTAGGAGTTGATGGATGCAGTGGATGGGGAGAAAACCTTAAAAGTAAATAAAAATGTGTGAAAGCATTGCTATCAAAAAATTCTGTTTGGACAATAAAGCATTTTTTGAATTGATTTTATACACTACTCACCCATCATATTAGCACTAAGTCCTTGAGTAACTGGCACTTTAACTGCATGCGCCGTAACTACTTGCTCAGTAAAAATTTCCTGAGTAAAAACCTGCTTCATCCTATTCATATTGTTATGCCGAATTGCAATTTTCATGCCTAAGGTGGCACACGTCAGTTCACAAATGGCGCTCAATTGTTGACTATGAAAATGTATAGCCATCAAAAGTAACATTTCTCCAAAAGATGCAGTCACTCCACTAGCGGATTCAAAGTAAGCTTCTTCTCTGACAAGCCATTGCACCCATTCAATACTGCGCCTTTCATGATCTGGTTGAGATACCAGAGAAGGACATGCTATCAGCATACACAGGCCTATAGAGACAAATCTTACACCCGCAGGAGTTGGATTGGGGTGTGAAGTCAAAAGTTGTACTATAAGATTAACTTCTTCATCTTGAAATCTGAAATTATTTAAATGATTAAATGAAATACTGGTTACTAGGATTTGTTACTTAATCGCTGCAATGCCCCTGAGAGCACAGTATAGCCTTAACAGTGCTGAAGCTTGGACAACTAAACTATCAGGAATTTGACCTTCAGGGGAAGCATCGATTATTGTTTGTAACTTTTTTAATAATTCTTCCCGCAATTGCTGCAGGGCATTACTAGAGGCTTCACCTTTCCTTTTCTGGCCTGTACGGATAAATAGAGCTATCCAATTTCTAGAAAAAAAAATTATCTGTAAGTATATATCCCTCAAACCAACTATATTATATGCATATAAGATGTTTTTGATGACATTGGAATGCACTTTGAGACAGTTACCTTATAGTTTGATCGTTTCCTAATAATAATCCACTAACAAAAGCAACCATATCGCCCTCTTCGTCCCCCAGTGGGTCGCCTAACGATAACAAAATAGCCAAAGCTGGCATTCTGCATAATTCAACACATTTAGATCTGACTGTCAGAGATTGTGATGGATTCATTTGACAGAGTAAAGTGATTGTACTAGCTCTAATCGTGCTAGAGACTGCTTCTTCTTGTTTTTCGCCTGTTTGTATCAGATATGTGCATACTAAAACGAAATTCTTTAATCTATTACTTAAATGTTTTTTTATATACAACTGACCTTCTCTGAAAGAATCAGGAAAATTGGCCACTATTCTACATATTATTTCTGGTCCGTTACGCACGTGTAACACAATTTCAACTATCGATGTTATATTAAGTGTAGTAGGTAGTTCTGCTAAAGCGATAGATATTATATCAGCAAACTCTTCAGCAAATATGTCGTTATCAAACAGTTCAGACGATTTTATGTAGGATTCTTGATCTGTTGCTTCGTTCGTTTCTTGGATTTGCGATTGGATGTATAAAAGTTCTCCTGTAATGACCATACAATGTAAATGAAATTGTCATTGATGAAATCATCGATAAATAAGCTGAATAGATGGGGGGCCAAATGAGAGTCTTGGGGTACCCCAGAGGATCCATGGAAAAAAGAAGAAATATAGCCATCAGTGTTGACTTGTTGCAATCTGTTAGTAAAGTAGGAATTCATCCATGATAGGTCCAGAAACGTCATAACTTCAAAACTTTGAAAGTTGTGGTTCACCTTATCAAAGGCTTCACTGAAGTAAGTATATATTGCATGAGTTTCTGCATTATGATCCTATGACCAGTTTATAAAATTTGTAATGAGAAACAGGCTCGTGTTAACCGATGTGTTGTCTGTTGACTGATCCTAATCAGATGAAATATTTTTGAAAAATTTTTTCCAACACACTGCTCAAATAATTTATGATTTGTAGACAGGATGGTGATAGGTTTGTACTTTGTTACATCATTCTTGCTGCCTGACTTGTGAATAGGACAAACCAAGGGGTAAACCACCATCCCAGAATTTGTGCAAACAATTCCTCAAAATTCCTGCAAATTCCTCCAAATTTCCTGCAAATTCCTCCAAATTTCCTACAAATTCCTTCAGATACCCTATCACAAATTCATCCAAAAACCCCACCACAAATTTTTCCAAATAGCCCACAAATTCCTCTAAATTCCCTGCAAATTCCACCAAATTTCCGCAAATTCCTCCAAACTCCTCTCAAATTTCCCACAAATGTCTCTTACAAATTCCCTTAAAAATCCCCATTATTGCTCGTGATAAGAAATTTGTTTTTTCTATTTTTATTTCGCTTAGTAAAAATACAAGAGCAGTTTATCAAATAGGATCGAGAGTATGATCCAATGCAAGGTAACGTTAGTTGACTTTAGAGCTAGAATTAATGATTGGTTTTCGGTAATCCAGAATGCAGAGGTTTAAACTAACATAAACCCGCATTTGATATTATTACCCAATTGATAAAAAAACCTTTTTAGGAAATTAAAACAAATTTAATACAGTATAATAGCAAGAAGAATACACATCATGTAGCTACTTTTTAAACAACTTAGGTAGGTGAATATTGTTTAACAATATTGAGGGTAGGTAGGTATATCGTTTCTTTTTATTTCAAATGGACCTTTTCCTAAAAGATGAACAAGTTTTCAAGACTATAAACAATAAATTTAATCCGAACCTCAGCAAATGAATGTGTCTAATTATTTTTCCAATAATTTGGAAATAAACCCGGAAATAAATAAGCCCTTTTTTTAAAGTTCAGCCTTTTTTCCATAATATGATGCACATTTCAAAATTTTCATGCAAAACTAGTGAAAGGAAAATTTTGAAACTTTTTGTATGTAAAGAGGAAGATGAGAAGCTCATTTTCCCAAAATTTCAAATTTTTCCATTGGAAAATAACAACATAAAGAATTTTAGAAATCAACCTACAATAACTGAATTAATAAAAAATACTGTCTCACTCAATTCAAACTTTTTCTGGAAAAAATTAGTGAAGGGAAAATTATGAAACTTTTTGCATGTAAGTAAAGAGAAAGATGGGAAGCTCATGTTCCCAAAACTTCAAATTTTTCCAGTGGAAAACAGCAGCATGAAGAATCTTGGAAATCTATCTACAAAAATTGAATTAGTTGAAAATACAGTCTCACACATTTCAAAGTTTTCCTGGAAAACTTGTGGAGGAAAAATTTTCAAACTTTTCGCATGTAAAGAGGAAGGTGAGAAGCTCATTTTCCCAAAACTTGAAATTTTTCCAGTGGAAAATAACAACATGAAGAATCTTGGAAATCGATCTCCAATAACTGAATCAATTGAAAATACAGTCTTACACATTTCAAAGTTTTCCTGGAAAACTAGTGAAAGGAAAATTTTGAAACTTTTTGCATGTGAAGAAAAAGGGGAGAAGCTCATTTTCCCAAAATTTCAAATTTTTCCAGTGGCAAATAACAACATGAAGAATCTTGGAATTCAACTTACAAAAACTGAATTAGTTGAAAATACTGTCTCACATATTTCAAGGTATTCCTGGAAAACTAGTGAAAGGAAAAATTTGAAACTTTTTGCATGTGAAGAGTAGAAAGATTAAACGTTCATTTTCCCAAAATTTCAAATTTAACCAGTCGAAAATAACAGCATGAGGAATATTGGAAATCAACCTATAATAACTGAATTAATTGAAAATACACTCTCACACATTTAAAAGTTTTCCTGGAAAACTAGTGAACGGAAAAATTTGAAACTTTTTACATGTGAAGAGGTTAGAAGCTCATTTTTCCAAAATTTAAAATTTTTCCAGTGAAAAATAACAACATGAAGAATTTTGGAAATCAGCTTACAAAAACCTTATTGTTTTGAATTTTTTAAACTTGGACCTGTAAATCATGGAGTGATATTTTGGGAGAATTTCTATAATGAAAATGAATGTCCAACGTTCAACACAAAACTAGATATTTTTTTTTTTTTAATTTCCATTTAATAGTGCTTCTTATAATAAGAATGACTACAATTTCCTTTAAATTCCTCATAAATTCCTCACAAATTCCTCCAAATTCCCCATAAATTTTTCCGAATTCCCTATAAATTCTCATAAATTCTGATGAGTTCCTTCAAATTCTCCATAAATTCCTCTTGAATCCTCCACATTTTTGGCAAAGAACTCCTAGGTGGTTTGCCCCTTGGGACAAACATAAGATAGCTGGGCTGGAACTCTGTAACGGATAAGGATCGTTATCCCTATCGCTATGGCACTTGTTGTCTTCTTCTTTCTTGTCGAAATCAATAGAGAGGAGACGTCAATAGAGATAGAGAAAATATCTCTAATCCGTTACAGAGTTCGAGCCCTGATTCCCTGGGTGATTCCGAGTCGATAAATAAAAAAAAAAAATAATTTCCTGTCCAAATTAGGACTGCCTGAAAAGAAAAACAAAATTCTTACCTAAGAGAATGGTCAATCTTCTAGTCATATCTCCTCTTTCATACTCCAAAGCCATACTCGTATTATTTAAACTATCAATCAAAATTGAATCGTTCAAATTAGTATTTCCTTTCTGTCTGAGTTGTTGTTCCTTTTTCACATCAATTTCCAATCTGTGAAAATCCATGCTCAATAACGCCACAATGGAATTAACCAGTTCCATGCCGCTTATTATTGTCAGTATGTTGACTTTCATTTTGGTGCATTTATTTGAGCTGTCCAGAGGAGAGATAAGTCCCATACGTACTAGACACGGAAGTACCGGTCGGAGGTCACTTTCAGGGCATTTGGCCAATTTTTCCATGTCGATGTTTTGTACGGAGCTGAACACCAAAGGGTTTACCCCCTTTTTTATATTTATTTCGGAACTGAGCATATTTCGAGAAGTCTTGTACAATGAGTAAGGAACTATGAATGAAATATTTCAAGTTTATGATGTACAATTTGAGTATAACTATTATAACTATAGACTTTAGCTCATCGTCAAGTAGTTTTAGCTTAAAATACTTTTATTCTTGTATGGGTGTTTGGTTGAAGACATTCTTAAAAATAGATACATAAACGACACAATACTGGGTAAGAATATAAATACAAACGAAATCAAGTTTCAGGTCTAAAATTCCATAATCTTTTCACCAAACAAAATAAAAACAAGTACAGACATAGAATGCTAGGTTATGGTTATGTGCAGAATTGCTGTAAGCGGGACCAAAGACCTCTCTCTTATGACGTCGACAATGGTGCGACACACGACCGCGATTCAAGGTTCATAGAGTTAATGCTGCATTTTTTATACCTATTTTGCCTGGAAATGGGTAACTTTATGAGGCATCTGGGGTGCCTTATTTATGGAGATTTGAATTATGTTGAGGTACCCCAGAGCAATCCCGTAGTACTAAATTATAAATAGGTCTATTTATTTAAACAATAACGCTTGACCCTGATTGGCCGTAAAATGAGGTGTTTCTGCAGGTTGACATCAGTTTTACAATAGCGACCAATAAGCGGCATTAGCGGCATTGTTTATGTTTCAGAGTTGACAATGCCAAAATCTATCTTGGAAAAAAATAAACCATAGACTAAAAAAGGTTTGTTTTGTTTGTGTCGCACTAACTGGAGCTCTGTAATATTTCAGATTTAGGGCCAAATTATGCACTGACTGGTAAACGTCTGGTTGTTACCTAGCAGGTACTTTCTATGCACTAGAGAATAGGAACTACCTGCTAGGTAACAACCAGACACTTACCAGTTGGTTCATAATTTGGCCCTTACAGATAAACCATAGCTGGGTTCGGCTATTCAGCGCGGAGTTGGAGTGGAGTGAACAGAGCCGCTTTCCAGTGCCTAAATTGTTAGAGTATCATGCTCCTGGAGTGTGACGCACTTGAACTGTTCCACACAAACAGCACTGGAACGCTCCCGTTTTAACCCCCACCATTTCGGACTTGAGGAGCATGAAACACCGAAATAAAGGTTGGTGCACGAGGGGGCAGGGGATAACAGAAATGAGTAGTTCAAGTGTACGACACTCTATATAAGCACTGGAACGCGCAAAGTAATTGTGTGTTACTCCTGAGCTGCTCAGGAGTAACTCAAATGGGTCACTAGAAGGCACCTCTGAGCTAATGGAGTCACCCCTAATACGGTAAAAAGCAATACCCGAACCTTAACCCGAGTGGCTGGAGTGCGAATGGAGCCACTCGAAGTGCACGGATTGTGCAAGCCGAACCCACCTCATGTAAAACGCTCACAAACCAACGCCCCAAAGCAGGAAGTGCTGCCCCGAACAACAAAAACAAACTTTAAAGTGGAGTGTTCGATACGCGCACTGTAACGCGCACCATTTCACGCCAACCACCGTTCCGCGTTCTGAAATGATTTGTACCGCACACGGGTTCTTGAACGCAGCCCTATTTTGACATTTGTCACTGATAGTTTTAAAATTTGAGAATTATTTGAAGTTTCAAATAATTCATCTCATGAAAATCAAGAAAACCGTTGATTAAAATAAAACAGAGTGTACGATTTATTATATTTCGTAGCTCCTTCAAAAATCCATTTCTTCAATCTGAAGTGTAAGTTTAGAACCGCAAAATGCGAAGATCTAATTCTTTGTCAAGTATTCCCTTACCCACCAGCAGAAGAGACTCTAGGCCTAAAGAAAGGACTTTGTCAAGTTTGGCTTTACCCACCAGCAAAAGGGACTCTAGGGCCAAAGAAAGGACTTTATCAGTAGCCAGGTGAGTGAAATTGCTAATAAAATTAAAAGTTTTTCAATTTGTAACAATGATATTTAAGTCAAGGTTTACGCTATAGCAGGGAAAGAAGCACAGATGCAGCTACCCCTTTATTGTCCCACAATAGATTGTGCCCCCCCAGTGGTAATAGGATTTCAGCTCAAAAACATGTCTTATGGACTCCCAGTAGTTCTCGTTTTAGTAACACTCCCACCTTTTCAGGGGGTTATAAAAGGAGCAACCCTTCAACAATTGGATCCAGAGTAAGCTTATTGTTTAAATAACCATCAAGTATTAGTATTAATGAAGGATTTATTATAGATGTCTGCGGGGGTGTCTGTTTCTAAGTCACCTGCGGTAAGGAGAAAACAATTGCAGCAAAATTTGAGTAATAAAAAGTGGTTGGCAGAAAAATATTCTATAGTAGGTTGATGAAAGACTTTATTCTCGAGGATATAATAATATTTTGCAGATTCAAGATTACATCGCTACAAGTGGACTGTTTGATGCTGGCTTGGCAGGATCCTTGCGCCCTCCTACCATTGCCATTTTTGTTGAACTAATAACAAAATTACTGAAGCAAATTGTTGAAATTGGGCCAGTCAATACAACCAACTATGGCGACATTGTTATAACTAATCTTAAGTTACTTAGATATCCTGGCCAAATAACAAATTCAGTTGTGAAAACTATCAATACTCTGCACGCTTGGCCTCATTTCATAGCCATAATATCATTTTTATTGGAAAAAGCTGATTTGGTTAATGTGGGAATTAATTCTAATGCCCAGCTAGATGAGGAGTGTAAAGTTGAATATGATCTCCAGGAAGTTTCTTGGTCATTTTGGTACATGGAAGAGACAGAACCAAATTTGTCGCAAATAAAGTCTGATATTATAACATTGACAGGGACTGATTTAGAGGCTGTTCAAATCTTAGAAGAACGTAAAGCTAGTGAACAACTAGAATTTGAGAGTATTCATGCTAAACTGGAGGAGAAAAGGAAATTATTAGATGAATTCAAGGCAAAGAATTTGGAAAGGCAGCAAACTATTGATCAATATGAAGTAATTTTTTTCTTAATGCTTAAATTTCATTTTAAACACTTTTTTTTTCCTTAGAAAAATAAAGGTAACAGAGAAAAGGAAGTCAAGGAAGAAGTTAGGGCATTGAAGAAAAAAGAAAAGTATCAGAAGGAAAAAATTAATGAACTTCAATTGGCCATAAAGGATTTGGAAAATGTTATCTCCAACCAAACTTTCAATGTAAGATACTTTTTGATAATTAATCTGGCAATCACATACCTATATAAATTGCCTAGGGGAATATAGGTTTTGATATACTACAACAAACTTTTAACATTGTCATAGCCCCTTAGACACTGAACAAAAACATTTTTAGGTCGAACAGAAAGAAGAAATAATAAAAACAATTGAAGAACTCAAGAGGCTGATTGAAAGAAGACAAATGAATGCCACCAAGCTAAGACAGCAACACCAAGAAATGGATATAATAATAGGAAATGCAGTAATTGATGTAAATACCAACAAAAAAAAAATTCATGGTAAATAAAATTACAGAACAATTTTTTATAGATTGAGCGTAAAGTGGACAAATGGAATGTTGCAATAAAACAAACATTATTGCCAGAATTGAAAGATCTTAAATTGAGGGAAAAAGGATTCCATAAGTCAGAATTTTTGGAAGAACTTCTAGAAATCAAACAAATAAAAATTAATTTATATAGAAAACTCACAAATGAATACAAGGAGAATGAACTGAAAATCAAAAAATTACAAAAACTAAAAGAATCAATGGCCGATAAGAATCAAAGTTTGAGTTCAGCAAGAAAGGAAGTAGATAATTTAAGAAAAAAGTTGTACAATTTGGAAGAGAAGAAACAAACCATGGTGTCAGATTTTATTGCAATTTCTAGAGACCATGATTTAAAAGTTGGAAAATCACTTGAAAAGATGGAGGCAGAGATAAAACAACAAGAACTTATCATACAGACTCTAACAACCAAGTGAGTATAGATTCCAATAATATACCCAATATGTATTATTCAAAATTATTAATTTTGATACAAATTAGGCCATGAACAAGTTTAGTATAGCCATTTTTCAAGATTATATGATTATTATTGTTGCTTTCATTCACTGGATTAATATTAACTCTTATTAGATGTAGGGAGTGTCAAAAAACTTTACATGCACACATTTTTTTTTAGTATACAAAAACAGATTGAAGAAACGCACGAAACCAAAAAAAGAGGCGTAGAAGGCATAATTCGAGCCCATAACGCAGCGTTAACAGATTTTCAAGAAATCAACGTATGTACCTGGATATTGAAATACCAATAGCTTTTATAGTTATTTTTTTTTTTAGACTATGAAACATAGGATGTTGAAAAATGTTGGCAAAGCTCATAAAAGGTCCACTCAGCAGTTAGCGGAATTGTTTGAGCATTATTTAAAAATGCAAGAATCTACTGCCAAATTGTATGGATCACTAGAAGATAAAGAAAATATTGAATAATTTATCTCTGTAATATGTTTATGTTAATGTTCTTTTTTTTTGGAATAAAATTCAGTTTATTTTTTCTTTTTGAAAAATAATTACCTACTTTGAGGCTTGATGCTTTTTCTACATTTAGAAAAAATTAACTCGCAAGTATAGCATGAAACGCAAGTAATCCATCAGAGTCTGCGGGTGACGTCATCACTATCAGCTGTTGATAGTTGCAACGTCACTCGCAGACCAGCTGCCGACTCGAGATTTGGCGCACGTATGTCTTCTGGAACTTTAGAGATCCAAAACTCGTCTTCGAGCTCATATTTCAAGAATAATAATACACCATCCCCATTGCTTGAAGTAGACTCAACAGAATATCTTGGAGTTATTTTACATCCTCAGAGAAATAATGAACAAAAAATTACTGATTTCAATTTACAAAGTACTCGTCGAGTCCCTAGTAACATATGGTACTGTGTTCCTTTTACCTGTTGACTTACTCGGAACTGCTCAAATGTCAAAAGCTTGAACGTTCTTTTTAAAAGTGCGTTAAGCACTCGAGTCGCTCATAGTGCATCTCCCTTTCCCCTGATGCACCAAATTTGCGTGGGGTGTCCTTTTAAGGGTGGGTATTATAAAACTATTTTCACAAAAAACTAAAAGTTAACTTCAGGATTTTCATAGTAATATCAGAAGTCTAGTTTTCTGCCAATACAGGTCAATAAAACCCACCAAGTCATGTTAAATCTTAGAGCAGGTAAAGGTAAAGGAGTAGTAACCTGGATTTGGAAAATGAAGCCGTTTTTTTCCAGGTATTTTGGCCCACAAAAAATGGCGGTTATGGCAATTCAATGCTTTACCTGTATTTTGGTGCCAAACACCTGCCAAAAACTTGGCTTCACTTTAGTTTCATAAGCAGAATGGCGCGTTCCTACTCCTTATGTCCGTAGGACAGCGCTTTACCTGCTCTAAGTGTTAAATTAAAGAAGCATATCTGAATTGTGTGTTTTGGAGTGACTCTGAAGAGCTCTAGAGCGACCCGTTCGGTGTAACTCGATGTATAAAAAGAATACAGTACATTGAGAAACCGGCCCTTCAACACATATTAGAAAGTTCTCGTGCTTCAGACGCTACGCTAATACGGTATTGCTAACAATACGAGCTGGGTTCGGCTTGCACACTCCGTGCACTCCGAGTGACTCCGTTCGCACTCCAGCCATTGTCTGATTCGTTAAAAGGCAACCCGAACGGCTGGAGTGCGAACGGAGTCACTCGGAGTGCACGGAGTGTGCAAGCCGAAACCAGCTACGGTATTTTAAATGGTATTTCATAGTTCTCGAACACGAAGACACAAAAATCCTTTAATTCCTCATTCTGTTTACATTTTCACAGCTTAATTTAGTGATCTAACCCAACTTTTTTTGCTTGTTTGCCAACTTTTATTGATCCTGAAGATTCCTGAGTTTCATTAATTTTCCCATTTTTCCCTTGGTTTTTTTTATGGAGGAATTATTAGAAGTTGCTGTTCTTGCAGACGTAGATGGAGCGTAAACTCATTTTGACATAGCATAGCGTTACGGTAAGGCATCCGCTAACTCCCGTTAGGTAACGGGCTCCACTAACGCTACCAATACCGTAAGAACTGTCATAGTTGTCAAGTAACGTTACGGTATTTGAAATTTGGACAGCACGAGAACTCTCCATTGAACGCGTAGCGTTCAATAGAACAATCGCAAACCCTTTACCAACGTTTGTATCTTGTGAACGCGGCCATTTCATTGTTTTGATCAAACTGATTCATAGAATTGATCATTGGTTTATTCATCTTCCAGATAAACTTGCTGGTATTATCTGCGAGATAATTTTACCGTTTTATAATTCCATTGAGGTTAATTCTTAGTCAACGGATAACAACTGGCCAACCAATGAGATTACAGATTGCGTTTTTAACCGTCGGATTGCATACCAGGGGCGAGTTCAGGAATGACACACCCAGTGTGAGTGTGACACCGGTGCGACGCCCTAGCTGTTCAAAAATGCTAGACGGTGTTATAGGCCCAATGGCCAATTGTCAATTCAGGCACACCCATAAAATCGCACTCGCACCCTGTGCGTTATTTCTGAACTCGGCCCAGTTTATCAGAAGGTGAATAAAACCGCAAGGATGATACACACTACTACTAAAGAATAGCCTATCCTCATAAGGCCTGTGTGAAACAAATGGGCCCTCCCTTCACCCAATTAAATCACCTGATTTGACGTAGCCAGCATGTCCTTCCTCGGATGGACGTAGGCTGTTTGCACTACAGGTTATGATTCCGCGGGCTTTATTGACATTCTGAAACAACTCTTTTTTAGATTTCGTTTTCATCTTTTTCTTTACCTATTTATGTTCATCAAAATTAAATAATATTTTTTATCATAAATTTAAATTCTAAACTACGACCTCTAGTGTAAGCAGCTGACGACTTGTTAATGACGTCGGAAATGGTGACACACCAATATGGCGGCAATTACCAGAAACGAGGCCGATAAGCAATCCTAGTAGTGTGTATCTTGAATAAACCGGCCCTAGCACCATTATTGGATCTGAGATTGGATCACTGGATATTGGGTGCGTTCACTAAACCCAAAACGGACTGTACACGCTTTGAAAAAGGTTTGTTATTTGTTTGTGTCGCACTAACTTGAACGTAACTTGAACTGAGCGCAAGATATTCCTGGTTGTGGCGTCACCTGCTCAACTGATAACTGCTTTTTAGAACAAAAAATCTGACACGAGCGGTATTTTTTATTACCTATATATATGATTCTTGCCTTGCGTTCGGTATTTTGCTCAAAGAGCAGAGCGTGCTGAGCGGAGTCGTGATCACGTGACCAGTGAGCAATCAGAGCAGTTGAGCGCTGTATATAAGTGCCAGAAATATTAATAAACGAACGCGAATGAGACTGCACCGAGTACACTTTTTAAATAAACGAACGGTAAAATCAAGCTCGGAGAACTCGGACCAAAATAACGAACGCAGGGTTAATTTGTGAGCTTGGGATTACTACAGTGTTGGAAATTGCAAAACATAAACCGAATTTTCACGACGAATTACTTCCATGATTTCATGAACACAAACGCTTTCGCGAGAAACTCATGACGTCATATTGAATGTAGTTCGCCAGAAGCATGGATGCAGCTTCTAGCCAGCGTTCAAACTCAAAACGTCACAAGACGAACTATGATTCGTCTTTGGATGAACTAATGTCTGTCGATTTTAATCTGATACTCCAAAGGAATGTGAACTGGTGGTTCCCTACATTAGAACGCCAAGGGTTACCTGACGTCACACCTGTTTTTGCCATATGAAACACCCCCTCGCTCCTCATACGGAAAGTGTCAGATTAAAAACGACAGACTTTACATTCGTCGCGAAAATTTGGTTATAGGCGAGTTCGGTTAATCCTCCGCGAGTTAAAAGATGACACTATGTTGACAGAAGCTCTACGTCATTTGAAGTAAAATGGGTTTTTTTTGAAAGATAATTCCCCAAGTCAAAAATCTAGTAACTATAGCCGCTTTCCACTACAGTGGCTAAATAAACCTTTACATACAGTGGCGACAATAGAGTCCCCGCTACCATCTTGTTCCCAACCTCTTGTTACTTTTAAATATTAATATATAGGATTTAAATGGACATCTATCATAAAAAATTGAAATCGACGTATTTGATGACCATATTAGGTCCATCAAATACGTTGTTTTCCATGATTTATGATGAATGTTCACCTAAATCCCATATATTCATATTTAAAAGTAACAAGGGGTTGGGAACAAGATGGCGGTGTTTTCAATATAAATATATGGGATTTTAGAACCAATCAAAAATGAGACAGCAATTGTCGCCACTGTGGATTATAGAGTCACTGTACTTTCCAGCTGTGCGCTTCAAGTACGGTGCAGGATAGTGTTCTGTGTTTGAAACGCAGAAGTTAGCAGCTCTCGAAGCGCAGTACGGCTGGAACACGAACATGCGCTTGAAGCATTTGCGTGCGCAAAAGCTCGATTGCGTGCTGAAAAGCGTCAGCTGGAAAGCGGCTTATGTTGGCAATAAAAGCCTTTTCTACATAAAAAATTTGAAAGCATTGACAATTTTACATTGTATTGCCAACATAATGTCATTTTGACTTTTATCTTTAAAAAAAAAGAAAAACAGACTTTAATAATACTGATGACGTGAGATAGGTCATATTTTTGCTCGCAGTGGATTAGCCGGACTCGCCTCATGTTTGGTTTCAACCAATGAACTGTTTCCACACACTTTAACGTAAAGGGTTTTATCAGCGTTTGTATCTGGTGAACGCGCCCATAATTAACTAGTGTACCTAGGGCCGCTACTTTTGATCTCGATTAACGAATTTTGCGTCGTTAAATTTAACAAGGTTTTGTATGATTAGGCTACAGCCAAGTTTTAAATTCGGATAATGCATTTTACGTTAAGAGTTGAGGTCTGCCGCTGACGACACAAATAGTGGAGAGTTGTCGCGTGCCGCGTGGACATGGCAGACACTTTCAGCTCAATAGGCAGTCCTATTTGGTTAGGGGTTCTTACCTATGATAGATTCGGATTATATAAAACATATAACAGAACAATTATTTGACTTTTTCTTTCGTTGAAAAATAGCTCTGGTACAGTTCGAACCGATAATTTGGAACGAGTGTCAAGCGACTGTTCCACTGCTTCGCAGTATTTCATTGCGTAATCAAATGAAATTCAATGCATACCTACGTCTAATTATCAACCGCTTATCATTTACCCGGGATTGGTCGCTATCCTTCCTATAACGCGATCGGTCGCCTGTTAGATTTTATCTAACACTAAAAAAAATTTCGGAATCAAAACTTAAACTTAAATTTGCTAAATGCAATTAAGTCTTGGTATTTCAATCGTAGTTGGTCTCGTAGTTAGATTTTTTCTAACAGCTAAGTGTACGCTGAGGTCGCGTGTTAGAATTTAACTAACCTTAGTCATCTTCCCGATATGGCTAACCCTTTTGAGCCAGCTAAATGCCGATTTGCCATGAGCTCACATAGGACCTCTTCCAGGCACTTCGGGAGGGGGAATGACCTAACGCCACTATTCAAAGTTTTATGCGCATAAAACTAAAAATGTTAGATTTTTTCTAACACCGCGGCCAATCCCGGGTTAAATCAAAATCAAGAAGTTTACCTTCAAATTTGCGCACATGTGCTCTTTATTTTTTTTATAATATGCTCTCCTATTTCAATGGTAACTTTGTTCTGATGAACGCGACCAGCCATGACGTCAGCATCAGTACACTCATGTGCAACACTTAAAAAAAAACATAGACCAACCTTTTTTTTCTGCAGCTATTCTTCAGAATTTTTATTTATGTAACCAATGAGGCAACCAATGAAATTACAGGTAGCCCAGGGTCGGAGATTAAATACGAGCACATCTGCATAATTTCGAAATTATTAATTTATAATTAAGATAAATACGAATTAATTAAAACTTTGGGACCACTTGTAATGCACGAACCGGTTTAAAAATGTGTACAAATTTTAAGTAGCTCGATTTATCATGTTATAGAGGTTGTATTTACTACCGAGCAGGAGAATCTGTGAATCGTCTCATCTTAGGTATATGTAGATATCTAAAAAAGATACTTGATATCTACCTATACCCTATCATTGAGATACAAAAAGAATTGATTAAGGGCTAATAAGCGGTAAGGTTTATGGTTTCCAAATCCCAATATCGTACCTCGCCGACTTTATTGGGACACCCAGCATTATAGGTACAGCGTGTCCGGAAATAAAAGCAACAACATTTTTTCAGAGATCTTTTAAAAAAAAATAGGGGACTCGTATTTTTAGGTCTGTTCCAATCCCTTCAACAAACCGTCCCAAGAACAGTTTCGGAACCACTCAGTATATGAATTTCGGATTTTCTAAGCACAAATTTTACGTTTTGCGCAGAATCCTTACGGTTAAATGTAAAGTGCGACAAGTGAGTGAACCTGTGTGGAAGGAATGCGGGCAAAACCTTCCTGATTGGCCCGAGATTAAATATACATATACGCAGGTCGTCGCGTCAGGGTAAACGCAATTTTCGCAATGTACCACGTCGGGGACCCGTCGCGTCGTATAGTGTTTTCGTCTTCCCCTCTGCTACTTCATACGTTACCAAGGTTCACTCACTTGTCGCACTTTATATAGGGCTCCCTGCTGGGTTGGAACAAAGCTTTTATAACATTCTGCCATTTATCTCGATAATTGTGTTTAACAAAAAAATTTAAAGAGACGAAAAGATTGAACTAACTAACCGAATAATATTTTTTTAAAAATTCAAATTCGTTGCATTTATTTCCTGACACCCTAATAGGTACTTCAACACGTCTTTTTTTAGCCCTGGAAGATGATCTTAGGAGGCTAAACTTTGTTAAGAATACAAACATTACTCAGAGTGGCGATTATTTATTGCAGATCCAAAAGTGTGATATTTATAAGAAGACACCCAAATGAATTGGAGACATCAATTCGTTTGCCAATAATCTGCTGAGCTCCTTCAAGTTCATCTAACTAACATGTCTGTCTAATCTTATCTTGCACAAATAAGCTCATGGTCAAGTTGGGCACCTGAGTGACCTGAGTCTAACTTTATAGATGATAGAGTACCTACCAGTTTGCAAAGTATTAGGGAAAAACTACAAACCCGGTTTTAGACTGGGGCTGGTAAGGCGGTTGTATTTTCTCTTATCTATTTTTCTTTAACGTAGGAGTCGTCAGAATACTTAGGTTCAAGAATGAAACTCTAAAATAATGATTATTTCATCGTAGGTACCTCAACATTATTGACACTGTATAACTCCTCGAAGGTGACGATATGATTTTAATTGGCGATTATACTCGATTAAAGTCACACGACTTATTTTATTGCGGTTTTTCTTTTAATTTATTACAGATCGGGATTATTATAATCTTCAATCTGACGCCGTTTAAGGCAATAAAAAAATGGCCGGTTGTGCGCTGAATGCTTATTAATTTGAATAGAACTGTGGCGCGGAAAGACTTTATTGTCGCACTGTTTAGGTAGATACCCATTATCGATAGGTCTAGGTACTTAACCAGTTCAATATAAGTCATGAAGTGCGATGGCTTAAAGTGAGATTTTAATTAGTAGTACCGATAAGGCTACTGATAGTTTATATAGCTATCCCTATTTGTCTTGGAGAAAAAAACTTGAGTTATTTTGTGTACTTAATCAAAGTGGAATTAATGGATATCTATATTTGAGTGTCAATTTACTCTGGCTCAATAAGAATAAATATTTCCAGGCTTTTAATAACTGAAATATTTGTCTGTTGTTTGCTACTATCATCATCCACTGCTGAATATAGTCCTCCTCAATAATCTTCCTTGTCTAGGTGGCCTTTTCAACTATTTTATACTTCAGAACTTATTCTTGATGGATTTGATTTTTTGAAAATAAACTTCATTAGTTTGTGAGTGTAATAAATCCCAATAATTTGAGGAATCTGCTAACAATTTCAGCTCTAGAAGGGTAAAAGTGAAACTACACAGATCAAAAGGAAAAAGGAGCCTCTTCAATTTTTCCTGCAGAGCAAACATCTCATCACCAATATGAACCTTATACTCTAGCTCACAGAACGACACAGAGAATTTCATTCCATTTACCTGACATCACACACTGTGTAAACCGAGTAAAAACACTAATAGAGATGACTATATTCTTATGAAAAACCAACTCCTTGAAATCCGATAGAATCCTACATTTTTCATTGGTTAATAAAGTTATGATTTATCTCCCGAAACGGATGAGATCCTGTATTGAAAAAAGAGGAAATTTGGGATTTCGAGATCCAATCCTATTACGTAATTAGGAGGTTTGAGTTACCATGAAAGTAAATATCGAATCAAGTTTTCTATTTTCTTCCTAATCCGTATTAATACCATATCCGTCATTAATATGGTATTTACCGACTCCGCCATTAGCACGTCCACCGTTAAAAGATATAAAACGATATTGTGTTTCATTTAAAGCAAAGTTCACTTCGCTAATGGGCTGTGACATTTATTTTATTTATTTGCCAAGATCCGGTTTATCGTTGTTCTGTTCATACCTACTAATTCTTGGTTGCGCCACCGATCTTACGAATTATTGTAGTTACTTTATCAATATTGTCCTAGAAAAGTTGCTTACGGCGAGGTAGTACTATTTATATACGATACCGATTTATCGTTTTATAATGGGCGTAAGGAAAAGAAATTCTTTAGGTTTACCTACCTGATACTGTTGAAATATTAGAAAAACTGTAGGTAGGTATTCGATTATAATTTGTTTTTTGAGGGCCATATTGTTAATTATATTTGGTTGTGGAAAGTTTGAACCCCTGAGCGAACGATTACCTATATGCTACTTAAGGATGAAAGGAACATTTTATGATTATTTCTTACTGTCTCTACACGCACCAACCGAAGACAGGACAAGATGGAGCATGGAAGACGAATTCCTGGACATTCTGGAGAGTAAAATAGGCGCAACACAATCAAAAAAGCCCCGCAAACTTCGCACACTTCCATTTGTTTTTCTTGTTCCACAGCTAATTGGGTTGTAAGATTGAGTTGGCCAAATTCAGCCTTTTTTAGAGCCCCCCTTTTTTCTTTTAATTGATCGCAAAGCTTCATTAGGCCTTGAGCCTGCTGAACATTCCCACCAGTACCCGCTTGTTCAGCCTCCTTTTCCAACTCATTGATTCTCTCATTGAGAATTTCAATTTGCTCTTGATTTTTCTCGGCTTGTTGCGGGTTGGTCACTGCCAGGACGTTTTTGCCGCTCAGCGCCAACCGCTGACGACCCTTGATTATTTTCTTTTCGACTTCATTGATCATCGAAGAACAGAAGCGGACAAAGTTCTCTTGGTATTGGATTTTTCTAAAGTGGCCGTTTTTGGCATCCTGGAACAGTTTTTTTGCTTCTTCGTCGTGGGTCTTGGAACACGGTCCCACATCGGCTCTGGTGTTTACGAAGAGGTCGTGAGGACAGAATTTTACCATGATGAATTTGCAGTACTGGAATGGGAAGAATTAGGGTTGGGGTTATCACAAGTTTTGTTTAGAATTTCAGGAAAAAACTGCCTTATATTATCTTAAAATCATCTTTGGAAATTCCTGAAAAATACCTTGAGTCATGACAGCAACTTGAACCTTTCAGGATTTATTAATTAGGGTTTTCTTATGATGGAAAATAAATTTGGAATTGTTATGAAACTCACAAACTTATTGATATCTGAGAAAATCTTAAAATTCCTGTAAAGTCACCTTTGGAGGTTGCTGAAAAATACTTTGAGCCATCACAGCAACTTGAAACTTTCATAATTTGTTGAATGAAGTTTCCTTATGATACATACCAAGTAAGAAGTTCATATGAAACTCACAACCAAAGTTACGATTTTTTTTTTACTCATTGATACCTAATAAAACCATAAAATTCCTGTATAATCACCTTTGAAGGCTTCTGAAAAATACTTTCAGTCATCACAGCAACTTGTAACTTTCAGAATTTATTAATTACAGTTTTCCCATGATAGAAAACAAAATTGAAATTGATATGAAACTCACAACCAAATTTACAGATTTGTTTACTCATTGATACCTGAGAAAATTATAAAATTGCTGTAAAATCATCTTTCAAGGTAGGTACCTGAAAAATACTTTGAGCCATGGAAGCAACTTGAAACTTTCAGGATTTATCATTTACAGTTTTTCCATAATGGAAAACAAATTTGAAGTTGATATGAAACTTACAACCAAAGTTACAGATTTGTTCACTCATTATTGGTACTTGAGAATATCATAAAATTCCTGTAAGATCAACTTTTAAGGTTTCTGAAAAATATTTTGAGCCATGCCAGCAACATGAAACTTTTAGGATTTATTAATCACAGTTTTCTCATGATAGAAAACAAATTTGAAGTTAATATGAAACTCACAACCAAAGTTGCAGAATTATTCACTCATTGATACCTGAGAAAATTATAAAATTGCTGTAAAATCATCTTTCAAGGTACCTGAAAAATACTTTTGAGCCAAGTCAGCAACTTGAAACTTATAGGATTTATTGATTACAGTTATCCCATGATGGAAAACAAATTTGAAGTTGATATGAAACTAACAACCAAAGTTACAGATTTGTTTACTCATTGATACCTGAGAAAATTATAAAATTGCTGTAAAATCATCTTTCAAGGTACCTGAAAAATACTTCCAGCCATGGTAGGAACTTGGAACTTTCAGGATTTATTATTTATAGTTTTTCCATGATGGAAAACAAATTTGAAGTTGATTTGAAACTTACAACCAAAGTTACAGATTTGTTTACTCATTGGTACTTGAGAAAATCATAAAATTCCTGTAAGATCAACTTTTAAGGTTTCTGAAAAATACTTTGAGCCATGCCAGCAACATGAAACTTTTAGAATTTATTATTCACAGTTTTCTCATGATGGAAAACAAATTTGAAGTTAATATGAAACTCACAACCATCGTTGCAGATTTGTTCACTCATTGATACCTGAGAAAATTATAAAATTGCTGTAAAATCATCTTTCAAGGTACCTGAAAAATACTTTCTGCCATGGTAGCAACTAGAAACTTTAAGGATTTATTATTTACAGTTTTTCCATGATGGAAAACAAATTTGAAGTTAATATGAAACTCACAACCAAAGTTGCAGAATTATTCACTCATTGATACCTGAGAAAATTATAAAATTGCTGTAAAATCATCTTTCAAGGTACCTGAAAAATACTTTTGAGCCAAGTCAGCAACTTGAAACTTATAGGATTTATTGATTACAGTTATCCCATGATGGAAAACAAATTTGAAGTTGATATGAAACTAACAACCAAAGTTACAGATTTGTTTACTCATTGATACCTGAGAAAATTATAAAATTGCTGTAAAATCATCTATCAAGGTACCTGAAAAATACTTCCAGCCATGGTAGGAACTTGGAACTTTCAGGATTTATTATTTATAGTTTTTCCATGATGGAAAACAAATTTGAAGTTGATTTGAAACTTACAACCAAAGTTACAGATTTGTTTACTCATTGGTACTTGAGAAAATCATAAAATTCCTGTAAGATCAACTTTTAAGGTTTCTGAAAAATACTTTGAGCCATGCCAGCAACATGAAACTTTTAGAATTTATTATTCACAGTTTTCTCATGATGGAAAACAAATTTGAAGTTAATATGAAACTCACAACCATCGTTGCAGATTTGTTCACTCATTGATACCTGAGAAAATTATAAAATTGCTGTAAAATCATCTTTCAAGGTACCTGAAAAATACTTTCTGCCATGGTAGCAACTAGAAACTTTAAGGATTTATTATTTACAGTTTTTCCATGATGGAAAACAAATTTGAAGTTAATATGAAACTCACAACCAAAGTTGCAGAATTATTCACTCATTGATACCTGAGAAAATTATAAAATTGCTGTAAAATCATCTTTCAAGGTACCTGAAAAATACTTTTGAGCCAAGTCAGCAACTTGAAACTTATAGGATTTATTGATTACAGTTATCCCATGATGGAAAACAAATTTGAAGTTGATATGAAACTAACAACCAAAGTTACAGATTTGTTTACTCATTGATACCTGAGAAAATTATAAAATTGCTGTAAAATCATCTTTCAAGGTACCTGAAAAATACTTCCAGCCATGGTAGGAACTTGGAACTTTCAGGATTTATTATTTATAGTTTTTCCATGATGGAAAACAAATTTGAAGTTGATTTGAAACTTACAACCAAAGTTACAGATTTGTTTACTCATTGGTACTTGAGAAAATCATAAAATTCCTGTAAGATCAACTTTTAAGGTTTCTGAAAAATACTTTGAGCCATGCCAGCAACATGAAACTTTTAGAATTTATTATTCACAGTTTTCTCATGATGGAAAACAAATTTGAAGTTAATATGAAGCTCACAACCATCGTTGCAGATTTGTTCACTCATTGATACCTGAGAAAATTATAAAATTGCTGTAAAATCATCTTTCAAGGTACCTGAAAAATACTTTCTGCCATGGTAGCAACTAGAAACTTTAAGGATTTATTATTTACAGTTTTTCCATGATGGAAAACAAATTTGAAGTTGATATGAAACTAACAACCAAAGTTACAGATTTGTTTACTCATTGATACATCAGAAAATCATGAAATTCCTGTAAAATCACCTTGGAAGGTTCCAAAAAAATACTTTGAGACATCACAGCAACTTGACACTTTCAGGATTTATTAATTAAAGTTCCTTAATGATATAAAACAAGTGAGAAGTTGATATGAAACTCACAACCGCAGTTACGATTTTTTTACTTATTGATACCTGAGAAAATCATAAAATTCCTGTAGTATCGCCTTTGGATGTTCCTGAAAAATACTTTGAGCCCTGCCAGCAACTTGAAACTTTCAGGATTTATTAATTTCAGTTTTCCCATAATAGAGAACAAATTGGAAGTTGATATGAAACTCACAACCAAACTTACAGATTTGTTTACTCATTGTTACCTGAAAAAATCATAAAATTCCTGTAAAATCACCTTTGAAGGTTCCTGAAAAATATTTTGAGCCATCACAGCAATTTCAACTTCCAGAATTTATCAAATGAAGTTTCTTCATGATACATAACAAGTTGAAAGTTGATATGAAACTTACAACCAAAGTTACGGATGGAAACCTGAGAAAAATCATAAAATTCCTATAAAATCACCTTTGAAGGTTTCTAAAAAAATGCCAAGCCAGCAACTTGAAACTTTCAGAATTTATTAATTACAGTTTTCCCTATAAGGAAGATAAGCGGCATTAAGGACCACTCGTGGATGCAAAAAGCCTACACATATTCTCAAATTAAAATTATATTGGACTATTGGACTAATGTTTAAAGTGACATTTTTATATATAAAAATATCACTTTAAACTTTGATTATCGTTAAACCTCCCTTAAAATGGTCGGTGCAAACGGCCATATAAGACTTGCGGAACTAGCAGCATCCAACAAACTCCTTATATTAAATCTACAATGTATGAACATAAGCCTCCAATGACGGTAGAACCAACAACCAAAAACCAAATTGATCACGTAGTAATTGCCGCAAAGCATGGATGCAATGTCCTGGATGTAAGAAGCAGCCAAGGGGCAGATGCGGACTCGGACCAATTTCTTGTTAGAGCAAAGCTGAGAATCAGAATATCAAGCTCGAAAAATGTCCGACCCAAACAAGATCTACAGTGGGCGGGATTCAGCAAAACTGGATAACGAAGAAATCGGAAGGCGAAGCCAAGAAATTACAAACAGATGACATCGATACGATTTGGAAAGTACTGTTCGAAGTAATCATAAGGGCAACAACAGTGACTGTGGGAGTACAACCAAGAAACAAAAATAGAAACCACTGGAACAATCCGGAATGTGAGATGGTACTTAGGAAGAGAAACAATGCAAGACTAATAGGTAATGATATGTCGGATGGAGGCAAATCGTCAGCCAAAGTCCAACTTTATAATGTTAACTGTTATGATTACCATCAGTGTCTTCACCAAAAAGACCAGCAGTCTCTCTAATTCGCTTTTCTGGAATCCCAACAAAAAGATTTATTGTTTGGTTTCTGAAATGGAATTTAAGTAAATGATGTGTCTTATTTCCATTTACTCGGGTGTCAAAGAATAAGTCCTTATCTAATAGTTCCTAACGAATGTCTCCTATTAGGAGCTTATACAGTGCAACTTAAATTACCATCAGAAGTAATCATCTTTAATCTGGGTAGATATCTAGCTTACTAGATCTGTGTATTTCTTGTTTGTCTACAATTTTATAGATAATTAAGGTATATCAACCATAATTTGTGTCATCTATCATATTTTCCAACCATCAGTCTTATATTAATTAACAACTTACCAAACTAATTAGTACACGTTTTGTAGTAGCTGATTGGCTACTTTATGAAGTCTTCGCCGGCGATTTATCAAATTAAAATAAAAAAAAACTTGTT